TTTTTTTTTGGTTTTTCTCCGGTACCGGGAACTGAACTCACGACCTTGTGCTTGCCAGGCAGGCGCTTTTGCCGCTGAGCTAAATCCCCAGCCCCAAGGAGTCCTTCCTGATAGAAGATTCAGTTCTAGTCTTAACTAGAAGCTTCTGTTTGACCTAGGGCATAGCACTTCATGGCACTGGACTTCAGTTCTTTCTTCTGAAAAACCCTGAGTTGGATATTGAAAAATCCTTATCCTCATAGACTAACTGTGCTAACTGAAAAAGAGTAAGCGTAAATTATACAAACCAGCACCTTACAAATAGGACAAAGTCAGCGAGTTTGGACTTTTTCTCTCCTTTTCTTTGATTACCAAAGGCTTAACTGAATTCAGCGTGGTATTTTGTTCTTATAACTAAAGGTCCTTTTTGTTTATATCATGGTTCTCACCTGGGAACAGTTTTACTCCCAGGGGACATGTTAGCACTGTTCAGAGGCATTTTTGGTTGTCACAGCTGCTTGTCACGAACTTGTTGTCAGCATCTAAAGGAATGCTAAACACCCTTCAACACACTAGATAGCCTCAGCAGCAAGAGGTTATCTGGCCCCATATTATATACTTTTGTGTCTTTTTAATGATCCCTTAAAGTATAAGTAGTTACTATCCTATTTTACATATCAGAATTTTGAGATTAATGGAAGAGTTGAGATTACTTGCCCAGGGTCTCACAATTACATAATGGTTGAATTGAGCTCGGTTTTTTTTTTTTTTCTTTTTCTCAACAGCCCCCCACTGAGCTACATTCCCAGTTGTTTTTATTTTAAGACATATTGCTAAGTTTTCCATGCTGACCTCAAACTTAAAATCCTCCTCCCTAATCTTCCTGATTTGCTGGCATTATAGGCATGCATCAGCGCACATAGCTAAAAGTCTGTCTGAAGCCTGATAGTGTAAGCACTTACTATCCTCTAGTAAAGTGCTACCTGGAGCTGGGGATATAGCTCAGTGGCACAGAGTTTAATTCCTGGTACCAAAAGAAAAAGTGCTGTATGGAGATTATGCTTTGGTTTTCTACCCCTTCAATCAGAATTTACAGGTGTCTTTTTTGTTTTTAATTAAAAAAATTTTTTTTCCAGAGTTGACCTACTCACCACTGGGCCCAGGACCCCAGAGCTTAAAGGCAGAGCACGGGGCAAGCCCTCATTACTGGCTGCAGCAAGACCCATGAGAGCAATTCTGCCAGCCCCAGCTAATGTGGGGCGAGGCAGCAGCATGGGACTGCCCAGAGCCAGGCAGACCTTCTCCCTGAGTGGTAAGCGCTGACATAGACCTGGGAAGAGGGCTCTCTGGCAGGAAGGAGTGAGGTGGAGAATGGAGATGCGAAACTTGGGGAGACTAAATGCATGAAAGTCATCATTTTGTCTCCTGGTTCTCAGATAAGACTTCCGCTGTCAGGACTTGTGGCCTGAAGCCAAGCACACTGAAGCAGCTGGGCCAGCCTGTACAGCAGCCATCTAGCACCAGTGAAGTGAAGGTAAGACCCATGCCCCAGGACGGAGGCTGTGTGGGTGTCTGGCCACTTCCCTTTAACAGTTCAGAATACCTGAAAGTGCAAAAGGCAGACCTCAGACCCCAGAGTTTACAATGGTAGACCTCTGCGAGGAGGTGAGCAGAACAATTTCTCTATTGTAATTGGAAGCCTTTTATTTAGAAATAATGTATAATTTAGAACAAAAAGATTCCCCAAATAAAAGCACTACCAACGATATCCATATACACTTTACCCAAAGTCACCTATTAAGAAGTTAATTCAAAAAAAAAAAAATTTAATTCACTTTATCATTTTTATTCATACTGCCGTCTTACGTGCATGTACATGGACAGGTGTGCTTAAAATACACATAATTTCAGGGTAAGCTGCAGGGCCTTTTATTCCATAATGCTTCCTTGTGTATGTTTTAAGAGTAGAGGTGTTCTTTGACTGAAATGTCTTTGCACTGTTGAATGTATTTATATTCTAATTCTGTCAGTTTTATTCAGTTATATCCTTTATGTTGCATTTTCCCCTCCACTATAGGATCCAATCTTGGATCAGAAACTGTATTTTGTTGTCATACCTATACAGCCTACTTTTAAAAATAAATGCGTGGCTATTGTAGAAAATACAGAAAATTCATCTGTTATCTAGTATATTAACAATCTAATGTACTCTTTTAGCTTTCAGATCTTTCCGTGTGTGTGTGTGTGTGTGTGTGTGTGTGTGTGTGTGTGTGTGTTGAAACAGTCTCTCTATGTAATCCCAAATCTGTGTATTCAGATACATTTGTTCTTAGATTTTGTTTTTAAGTTTTTATATCCATGTGTGGCCAGAATAATTATTACCAAATTTTCTAAATCACCATTTTTCAAACTTTGTCATGACCTGAAGGTAACAAACATGTTTTTTTCTTGTGTGTATATGTCTGGTTTTTTGTTCGCTTTTGTGGTGCTGAGGATAGAATATAGGGCCTTATGCATGCTAGGCAGTACTCTTATCACTGAGCCGCACTACCCAGCCCAGTAATGAAAACATTTTTACATCATAGCCAGTGAACGAACATATTAAAAATGTAGGACTCAGGCATAGTGGCTATAATCACAGCTACTCAGGAGGCGGAGGCAGGGGGATCACAAGTTTGAGCCCAGCCTGGGCAGCTTAGCAATGCCCTGTTTCAAAATAAAAACTTAAAAGACCTGGAAATATAGTTCAGAGCTATGTAGGGCCTTTGGGTTCAATCTCCAGTTCACAAAAAAAGCTCTTCTTTTTTTTTTTTTTTATATGTAATCACTTTGGTATGTCTCATTTCTCTTCACAAAATGCTGGTTTCAACTCTTTAAATTAATTTCATGCCTCTTCAGCCTGTAGCTTAAAAAGTGTCATGGACCAGAGTGGTATAGGAGACTCAGTCTACTGTCTCCCATACCGTGTGCTCTTTGTCAAGTATCTTTTTATTTTTTTTTTTTTTAACCTTTCTAAACTTTCTCTGGCAAAAATATCAGTAGGTTTTTACTTAAAGGACTGTTTGTTACCCTGATGGTAGTGGCAACTCTGGGTGTGTGTGTGTAATCTTGTGTATGAAGGAAGGTACCTGGTTAACTCTCAGCTCCTATAGAATCCCTTCATATATGCTCTGTCACTTGGGTAACCCCAGTCTTTTCTATAGTTTCCCTTTGCTCAATGCCTTTGGGTTTTTGTTAAAAGGTACAAACTCTTTTGCTATTCTTAAATCAGTTAACAGGTATGTGAGATCTCATTTTCTGAAAATTAGCCTAAATTCACTGTTACAGAATAATTTTAATTTAGAATGCCTTCTTTATCTTTTTCTTTTTGTTTAGTTGTATAAGTAATATGCACATTCCCTAAAGAACACTGACAATTTTATTGATGGTGGTAAAGAGGGAAAACCTATGAATAGTTTTTAGCTGACTTCTGTGCTAAAATTGTTCAACCGTATATGTGCATGTGTTACATTCTTTTATCACCTGATAGTAGTTGTGAATTTGATTTGTGGTGTTTCTAATACACAATGTTAGAAGCTACACAGAGAAGCAGCAATCTCTAGACTTGAATAGTGTTCTTCAGTGGGCTGGTGACTGTCAGTCGGCAGTGCAGGGGGCTGAAAGAGCACAGTCTATAAATTCCCTGTGACACCATTTCCTCAAGTTGTTTTAGGAACAAGACCTCAAGAGTTAGGCTGAGGCTTAAAAGCAGCACTAAATAACTTGTTTTGATCTATAGCTGTCAAGTGGCCCAAACAACAGGACGTCTCAGGTGAAGGTTGTAGAGGTCAAGCCTGATATGTTTCCTCCATATAAGTACAGCTGCACTGTCACCCTGGTAAGTGTGTAACTAGTGCTAGATTGACCTGGGGGTTGTTTTGATCTTGTGGTTGAGGGTGTATAGGAGTCTGGCAGACAGGTTAGCAGTACTGAGAGTGAGAGCAGGATCACATATAATTATTGATGCTGAAGCTCCCAAAACCTGTACAAATAGTAGCTACAATGTTAGAGTGTTTGGGGACTTTTTTCCAGGTCTCTGTAAAACACAGGGTAGCTGAGATCAGTGTGTTTTTATTCAGAGTGGTTAGAGATGAGAATCCAGGTTTAAATTCAGTAGTCTTTGAACCTCTTAGCCTAGAAAGTGTGTTCCACAAATAGATATAGACAGAATTACAGCATGTTTTCCTCCCTAAAACAGACACATTCAAAACTAGTATCTAAAGCACTTGAGAAGTGCTTTAGTAAAGTACAGCAATTTATTTTGTTTAGCCTAATATAATGGTGGTGAACCCAGGGCATGCATGCTGCACCAGGCTGTTTGTATTACTGGAAGCTCTAAAAGGTTTGCCATCATCTGCATAGTACTTCCCACAAGAGTTTTTCCTTCCTGTTCTCCCTTTATTTTTAATGTAACAGACATCAACATCCCAGTAGTCTTCATTTTATAACATAAACAGTATGGAGCAGTGGAATAAACTCTAGAGAGTTGAAAGCCCTATTCCAAATGTAGTTCGGTAACTCTGCTGCTAGCACCATCTGAGCCAAGACAAGACTTTGCTTCTCTGGTCCTCAGATCCACTATCTAGAAGATGCTGTGTTGATCTTTGGGGTTTCTCTCACTCTTACTATTCTCAAGCTCTGTTGGTCCATAAGGTAGCAACCAGCAGAGATGTGTCCTGGCACTTTTTCTCGTTTCAGTGAGATGAACAGATTTTGTAAGAATTGCTAGATTTTTAAAATTCTCACCTGATGGTGACAGACTGGTTTATAAAGGGTCTTTCATTACTCAAAAAATATTTATTAGCCAGGTACCATAGCTCATTTTGTAGTTCTAGCTACTGGGGAAGCTGAGACAGGAGGATTGTTTGAGCCCTTGAGTTCAAGACCAGCTTGGGCAACACAAAAAAGGAGTAAATAAATATAATATACAAAAATATATAATATATAAAAAGATATTTATGAATATGTGTATTTATGAATATATAATATATATTTTTATATATGGAGGGAGGGAAAGGGAGGTAGAGAGATGTGGAGAGAGAGAGAAGGAACAAGACAGCAATTTGGTGGGTTCATGATGCCCAGTCAGCCTGATTTCTACGGAGAATATATCTCCTCCCATGGAGAACTACTGACATCATTACCTTCTCCATGCCCTCCATGTCCTCCCTGTCTTTGGCTATAGGAGGCTGCTAGGCCTCTACTGAGAACTGCCCAGAATTCTTTCTCTGTTAGGTTGATTAGATAGTAACTTGTGATAGAAAATTAGATGTTAAAGCTTTAAGCTTTATTAGTCCAGAAGTCACAGTTTGCCTTTATGTAGAGGTTGAAGTCTCTTCTTGCTTTGGTGCTGGGGTAGAGCCCAGGGAGGGCTTCATGTGTGCTAAGCAAGCACTCTGCCACCCTCATCCTCTAGGGCTGAAATCTTTAGTTTGCCACAGTCTAGCATTCCTCTTTGGAGACTGTTGCTTTATTCTGCCAACTACCTGCACCTTGAAGGCGATTGAATTTTTGACCCTTAAGAATCATCTTACTTGGGGCTGGGAATTTAGCTCAGCAGCAAAAGCGCCTGCCTGGCATGCGCAAGGTTGTGAGTTCGGTTCCCGGTACCGGAGAAAAACCAAAAAAAAAAAAAAAAAAGAATCATCTTACTTATTTCACAAATTATATAACCTGTATTAATATAAAAAATAATTACAGAAAAAGAATCTCACTTAAGACTCTTTAGAAGTTAGGCTAAATCTGGTTTGCGCAGTATTTGCCACTTGTCTGATTTACTGGCAACTTGTTTGACATAGTTTCTGTAGAACTGAACATTGATCTTACTTTTTTAGGATTTGGGCTTGGCTACATCAAGAGGCAGAGGAAAGTGCAAGAATCCCTCTTGTAGCTATGTCTACACCAACCGGCACAAACCTCGGATTTGTCCCAGCTGCGGTTTTAACCTTGCCAAAGACCGGACTGAGAAAACCACCAAGGCTATTGTGAGTTCTCCTAACATATCCCCTGGCCTGAGGCTGTGCTCTGTTGGTGAGCCTGTTTTAGTAGGAATGAAAGGATTTCTTGATACATGATTAGTAGCTAGAACATCAGGACTGGAACCAGGTTGTAAGTTCTGAACCCAAACAAGTCCCTTCTTTCTGGGCCATGTCCTCATTGCCATGGTGCGGGGATCCACCAATGCCTTAGTATGTTTTCTGCTGCAATAACAAAATACCTGAGATGGGGTAATCAACTGTCAGAACAAGGAGCCAGAGAACGCTCACTTTTGAAACAAAGCCACTCCTGCGGTAACTCTTTAATGCATTAATCTGTGGGTTAATCTATTCGTGAAGGCAGAGCCCCCGTGACCCTCTCAGAAGTCCCGTCTCAAATTCCATTAATAAGTTGCTTTGGGATTTAAGTATCTAGTACATGAAATTTGAGGGACCCATTCACACCACAGTAACCAGGTCCTTGATGTCTGAGAACCAAGAGTTCAATCACTAATGAGTTTTTAGAAGTGAATAAAAAGTGACAGCACTTGAAGTGAGCAGAATGAGGATAAGGAGAAAAAATGAAAAACAAAACTTAAAAAAAAAAAAACCCGTCACTAATCCACTTTGGGAGAGGAGAGTGTAGAGGGAAAGACACACAATAAATAGGTCAATATCCAAGATTCCAAGATAGAACCTGGCTGCTCTAGGTCTAACCTGGTCTTTGAAAGATGGGCAGGATTTGGATGGAAGGGGAAGACATTTAGAGATGGGCATGAATGAAAGTAAAAGTGTGAGTGTGGCAGGGTGGGCTGGGGGTAAGGAAAGTAGTTAACTGAAGAGCACGTTAGGACACATTGTGGAAGGTCATGAGTGTTGGACTGGGAAGTCTGCTCTTTAGGTATTGGGGTCGTGTTGGACTTCTCATCCAACTCTGTCCAGGGTGAACAGATCCCCTGAACTAGGTGCCCGCAGATGTATAAGAAAAGTAAGAAAAAATCAAACCAAGGGAACCAAAACTGTGTGATCAGGTGCTAGCAGTCTCTAGGACTGGCTGACTGCTGATTACCATCTTCAGTAACCTTTTATTCACAATCAACCAAGGAGGCAGCAGAGGAATTGGAGGATATCAACTGTTTTAGCAAGGACAGTACAACTCAGTTATCATAGGAATGCCACCTGACTAGTAAGCCATCATGTTATCTTCCTTTGCCCATATCTCAGCAAAGCATCCAGTATTGATCCTGGGGCTTACAATGCTTATGCTAGACTTCCTCCAGAACCCAGCAGTCATGGCTTGGTCAGGCCTCAGGCAATACACAAAACAGTAACTAAGGAATGTCTTTCTCCACAGGGTCCCATTAAATGTCCATGAGCCAGAGAGAAGCACATAGTAAGATACTTCAGAAGGGAGACTTACTCAAGAGTTTGGGAGTAGACAGGAATAGAAATAGGGAGAACTACTTCTGGTCTGAAGCAATTCTTTGTGTATGGCAAGGTACCTTTATGGTGATGAATCTCATTACCTGGTCTCCAGGTCTGTTTCAGTGCTTAAGGTGGTATTCTGAGGTCATTGTCCTTGCGAGGAAGGAAGTTGGAAATAAAGTATGTGGGGACTGGTGGCACAGTGGAAAAGGCATTGGGACTAGAAGTTTAGAGAGCTGGCTGGGAGTGACCCTGAAAAGCTCCAGGGCTGAGCTTTAGCTTCCCCATCAGTAAGCTGGATTAGTGAGCATTTTACTCTGTCAGGAGCTGTTAGAGAAGACTTGGAGTTGAGCTTCAGGGAATCTGTAAGCCCCGAGAGTTGCATGCAAAATGGGTCTGTAGCCTTCATCAGTTTCTCTTGCTCCACAGGATGCCTTTGGCTAGAACCGAGATTTCTCCTGGATTTTCTATGCATTTTATGTCTCTTCCAAAGCATTAATTACCATTTATTGAGTGCTTCTCTTAACTCTGTAGGGGACCGTAATCTTTTCTGGCAGGTATATCTATTTTCACCAACACTTTGTAAATTGAACTCATCTATGTGTGTGGAGCTGTAATTAGGGGATGGAGTTGAATTCTGTGTAGGTAGATGCTCTTAGCATCCCTTTCTCTTCCCATTTCATTTTGACTATTTGTGTAGTTTACAGTATGAAAATGAATGCTGCTCTTTAGGTCTAAGGTGATAAAGAGACTTCTCATATCAGGTCAAACAAGACCTCTTCCCAGTTGATTTTTAAATCCCACTCTTACATCCCTCTGTCTCTGGTTAACTTATAGCTGCCTACCCTTAAAACTCTCATCTTTAAACCTTCCCTTGCCATCAGACTTCCCTTCACCCTCCAATCTCTTAAAAGTTTGGAGGAATAAAATGCAATTATTGTTTTCCAAAATATGAAATTTTGGTCATAAACAAAGGCCTTTGTATATGCTGCCCTTTGGAGCCATGTGGTGGCTGTACATTTCCTCTCCGATTTATGTTCATCTGCTGTAATTCAGACCACAATGTCTTGAGTCCGGGATGGTACTCAAGTCTTTTCTGTCCTTTATCTCTGGTACAGTAGTAGAGGGTAGTATTCCTACCACATGATCTTCAAGCTCATGGTTCACTATAGTCATGCTTGGGGACATGGAGCCTCCCAGAGCAGCTTATTCTATTGTCCACCATGTCTTCTGAATTCATTAACCCTTTCATTCCTCTGTTAGCATATGCCTTCAGAGGTGAATTAGGACATGGCCTGTTCCCTTGAGGAGCTTACAGTTTAGCTGGGGGGAAAGGACAAATCACCCAGCTATTACAGGCAGTGAGACAAGAGTTAGCATAGGTATGCAAAGTTAATTTTTAAAACCCCTTGTTGTTAAGAATTAGTTCCTACAAAGAAGTATATGACATACCCAGCAAAGTGAATAGTGTCTTTTGTAACTCAGGCCTCATGCTGGTTTGGGGAATGAAAAAGTAAGCGGGGACCCTTCCTCACTGAAGAGAAAGAGTGGTGGCTTAGCAGCTGCAATGGTGAATCTTGCAGTAAAGGGGTGCACTTGAGGAATAAAAGGAAGCAGCGATTCATGCTGCACTGGCAAAAAGGATCCAGAGGCACTTCCACTTGGAATAAGATCCACCTGAGGACCTATTGCTAATAAGTAATTCAGAACTGTGTTCTGGGAAGTGTGTGACTTGTATGTAAAATACCCTGTGCCTAGAAGCTGTGAATAGTTGAAGACAATTCGAGCAGTTCTTTCTTGTTAGTATATGGAGCTACCATTCATCGTCTCTGTTGCATCAAAGGCACTGCGCTAGGTGCTTTACTTACAGTATCTCATTTAATCCATACAGTAGCTCTGGGAGATTAGTAGTACTTTTACCTCCATTTTATCATGTAAGGAAATTGAGCCTCAGATCCAGTAAGTTGCTATGGCACCCATAGGCACAGCCATGAAACAGGATCTTCAGAACTGAAACTCAGATCTGTTACCCTACTAATGAATAAGAGCTAACCACTGCGTCCACTCCCAGGAGGCACGTATATCCTCATTTTACTGACAGAAAAACTTCAGCCCCAGAGAGAAGCCCTGGCCTTAGTGACGCAGTAGGTTATTATCAAGCTGCTCAGGAACCTAGGTTTCCCACCCCTTGGTCATGGGGGGCTGCTACTTACAGAGTTTCATTTTACCCTAAGGCCAGCTCGTTTTGTGCCCAGGGATTGTTGATTGATCCTTTCTCTTAGCAGGAGGCGAGTTCTCCACTCCCAGATGGGCTAAGCGCCACAGAGCCCCTGAGTGCGGCCCAGAAGGAGATTCAGCGCCAGTCCACGCTGCAGCTGCTGCGCAAAGCCCTGCAGATCCCTGAGAATGAGTCTGAACTGGCCGAGGTCTTCGCCTTGATTCATGAACTTAATAGCTCTCGACTTCTCCTGTCCAACGTGAGTGAGGAAACAGTCACCATCGAGCAAACCTCTTGGTCGAATTATTATGAGTCCCCATCCACGCAGTGCCTTCTCTGCAGCAGCCCATTATTCAAAGGGGGACACAAGTAAGCACCCGTTTGCCCCTTACTATGTCTGCTCTTAGCTCCCCCATCCACTTGATTCATGTCCCTTCTCTACCTGTGAAGCTCTAACCTGTGAGAATGGTATTCTTTGCTTTCCTTGAGCTTTTACTTTTTCAGTTGCTAATAGCAAAACAATTAGTAATTATCACTTCTGTTGAAAGTGCCTGGAAGTTATTAGCAACAGCTTAGGATTTACATTACATCTGCACTGGCCAGCATCGCATTTGAGGTTGGGAGTTCAGTGGGACTGATTAAATAATAAATTTGAGAATTATATTAATTGTAGGGCCAATTTTACAGACTAGATTCCCACCAAAAAAAACCCTTAAAACCCGTGTTTCTTTCCTCATTGCATTAAAGTTTTGAGAATTTTGCCACTGATCATGAACCCAAGACCTGCATAAAGAGATTGATTTCCCTTCTGGTTTTTTTGGTGATGTTTTTGGTACCAGCTCCCTGGCCGGGCCCCAGGAGTGTTGGCTGCTGACAGCTAACCGGCTGCAGGTGGTGACTGCTCAGGTGAAGATGTGTCTGAACCCCCATTGTCTGGCCCTGCACAGTTTCATGGACATCTACACAGGTGGGTACCAGTCCTCGCTTCCCTCGGGCACCCCAAAGCAGGTTTGAGAACTGCCTTCATGCATCAGAGCTGCAGTCCTTCGCACGCTGGACCTTCTCTCCATTAGGCTTCTAAGGAAGAGGAGAAGCTTCCTTCTGAACACCTTGGGCCTAGAGAATGACCTCTGTCTCTCAGCCTTTAGGACCCTTTTCTAGCGTCTTTAAAACAAAGTTACAAAACAGTAGCTCTTTAGTGGTGAAAAGCTGGGAGATGCAGACAAGTAAAAAGACAAAACTGAAAAATAGTAGTAATCTCAGTGCCATGAGGTAAAAACATTTAACACTGTGCCCTCTAATCTTCCAGATGTGTGTTCATTCATCCATGTGGAATATAAGACATTATGGAAAGTTTTATAGATTTATAGATTTGTTTTCTAAAAGTCAGTTGTGTTGTACACTATTTTGTAACGTTTTTAAAATTTAGTAGTATATTGTAGGCATCTTTCTAAGCCAACAAGTAAGAGATACATGTGAACATTTTTGCAGGAGTATGTAGTACTCCATTTCATAGCCCTATTTATAATTAGATCTGTCCACAGATCCTTAGTTATTTCTTTTGGATAAATTTTCCAAAGTAGAATTGGTGCATATTTATGCCCTTGCTCCCCATGCATTTATTGAATGCTCGCCATATACCAACTATTGTGAGTCTTTTTTATATGTAGAACTGAGTGCTAGAGATTTGTTACTCTCTGTAAGTACTTTATGTTGCCTTATTTTGAATTTGTTTTAAAAGTTTGAGTTTATATTATTTTATGTTCTTTCCAACAGTTAAAAACAGTGTAGGCAAGTACTTAAGATTATGTAGTTTTTTAAATTAAAATGCATTTTAAAATTTACATGTGGTAACATTTGCTTTGTTGTTGCAAAGTTTTATGATTTCTGACATATGCACCAATTTGTGTAACTTTCACCCAACCAATATATAGGAGAGTTTGTCACTCCAAAGCATTGTCTTGTTCCTCTGTAGCCAAACCCACTTCCTGAGCCCTAACCTCTGGCAGCCCTTTGATCTCTCCTTTACTCCTGAAGTGTTCTCATGTCCAGAGTGTCATGTAACTGCAGCAGTAGTTGGTAGCCTTTTGCATCTGGCTTCTTTCAGCATAGTCCTTTGAGATTCATTCATGTTGTATGTATGGTGGTTTGTTCCTTTTTATTGTTGAGTATGTGTGAATATCCTGCAGTTTTATCTGTTCACCTATTAAAAAATGTTTCTGTTGCTACCAGTTTTGTTAATTTTCAAGTAGAGCTGCTGCAAGCATTGGTGTACAGGCTTTTGTGTAAAAGTTAACTTTTTGTTTATCTTAGGTAAATACCTGAGACTCAGATGGCTGGGTCACCTGGTAGTACATGTTTAATTTTGAGAAAATGCCAACCTGTTACCTAAAAGGCTGTACCGTTTTGTATTCTCTCCAGTGGTGTGTATTCCAGTTAGCTCTGCCTGCCAATTCTCCGTGGTGGTGTTGTTTTTTAGCTATCCCATGTTTTATATGTATGGCGGTATCTCATTGGAGGCTTATTAATTTTTATTTCCCCAGTAATGATATATGGACATTTTTATGTCTTCTTTGATAAATTATGTGTGTACACCTTTGGTTTGTTGAGTTTTAAGAGTTCTTTCTGTATTCTAGTTATAAGTCCCTCTCAAAGTTTTATAATTTTATGGTTCACATTTAGACCTATTATTCATTTTTATTAGTGCATATTAGTAAAAACAGAATAATGAGATTCACTTTGATACATTGGTACATGCATATAAAATATATTGATTATTTTCATCCCCATTATTCTCCTCTCCCTCCATTCCATTCCCTATCTCTAAAAGTTTACCTTCTAGTTTCCTGCTGTGATCCATTTTTAATTTACTTTCTATAAAGTGCAAGTCCTGAGTGAATATAGTTTTTTAAGTGTCCAGTTGTGTTATCATTTGTTGAAAGGACAGTTCTTTCTCCATTAACATGGAGAAAGAACATACATACCTTTAACATACCTTTGCTCCTTGATTGAAAATTAGTTAAGTATATATGTGTGAGTCTATTTCTGGACAGTTTCATTTTCCATTGACATAATGTCCATCCTTTGGAACCACAGTGTCTTGATTATTGTAGCTTTGAAGTCAGTCTTGTAATTGGGTAGTATGAGTGTTCCAACCTTGATTTTAGCTAGTTTCATTCTTTTCTATTTCCATGCAGATTTTAGAGTCAGCTTGTTAGTAGCTGCAAAAGTCCTGCTAGAATTTTAATAGAGATTGTATTGTATTTACAGATCAGTTTGGAGAATTTCACATGCTTAGTAATACTGAATTTTTCATTGCACAAACAGGATCTTTTTCTCCGTTTTACTAGGTTGTCTTTTATTTCTTTCATCAGGTTTTTTTGTTTTGTTTTGGGGGCTTTCATTGCTAAATATTTTTATCTTTAAGAATTTGGTCCATATTTGGGGCTGGGGATTTAACTCAGCGGCACAGCACCTGCCTGGCAAACGCAAGGTCGTGAGTTCGATTCCCATTACCGGAAAAAACAAAAACAAAAACAAACAAAAAAAAAGAATTTGGTCTGTTTTTGTAGCTTTTGACGTGTAAGTTCTACATGTATTTTGCTAGATTTAAAACTGAGTTTTTTTGTTTGCTTCAGTGCTAAAGGACATGGGTTCCAACTGTTCACTACTGGTACAGAGATTAGTTTTGTCTGTTGACTGTATCCAGTTACATTGCTAAAATTCACTTAATTAGCTCTAGGAACTTTTTATAGGTCAGTATTATTATTTTTTAAAGCTCATCAATTTGATCGGTAAAATAGTGTTTCGTTTATTAATCTGCTGTATTTCTTCTGTTACTAGGAAGAGTATATTTTTTCATGATCCTTTGTGGAGTTTTTTATTTGTTTGTTTCCCTATCATGAATTTCTTTTGTGAATGTTTCTGTTCTTTTTTTGGACAGAGTTTTCTCCCTACTAATCAGTTGTCCTTTATATTTGTATGTGGTGATTTGGGGGACACCAGGGTGGTTTGGGCTTTTTAAAAAAATTTTTGTGTAACCAGAGCTTTGGTCTTATGGTTTCAGCCTTAGCCTGTCATGCTTAGAAAGTCTTCCCCATTCCTCTATCCCCTTCTCTACTGAAAACATATATTCTAGAATTTGCTTTTGTACAAATTTGCTTGTTATACTTTGTACAAATGTAAAAATCACCCTCTTTTACTTGTCTTAAATTGACTGCATTTAAATTCCTCTGGTTCTCTTATTCCAGGATTTAATGTAGGGGTGATTTTATAGACTTTGTTACGTCCCCTACACATCCCTGGGCTAAAGGATGCTCCTGACCTTTCCCCATGGTGCAGTTGTGTGAGGTGTAGAGGAAGAGTGACATCTTTGGTCCTGAGGACTGAGCTAGGGGGTAGGGAAATTTTTTTTTTTTTAAATTGGGGGAAAAAACCATAAAACAATGTATATAGTACATATTTCATTATTAGATTTTTCTCATTTAACAATATGTTGTGGACAACTTCATGTCAGAAGAGTTAGGTTTCCTTTATTCTTGTAAAATGCATTGTTTTTCTGTTTATTAATGTACTATAATTTAACTGTTTTCCTGTTGATGAGCATTTAGTTTGCTTCTTACTTTTTTCCATTGAGTAAAATGCTACAGTGAATTCCTTGTTGCCACTTTTTTATCTGCAGGTCTCTTTAATGTGGGGAACAAGATGCTAGTAAGCCTGGACTTGCTTTTCGCAATCCGAAACCAGATCAAGCTGGGAGAGGATCCCAGAATATCAGTCAGTGTTGTGCTGAAGTCAGTGCAGGAGCAAACAGGTAAAGGTCACTTTCTCTCTTTTCAAGGTTATTCTTAAGCTCCTGAGAATCTTAGTAATAGACTTTGGTTAAAAGAGTCATTTTAGAGAAGAGCCTATGTTTTGCTTTGTTTCTTTGTTTCTTACGACAAGAGTCTTATTATGTTGTTTAGAATGATCTCGAACTTACTATTTAGTCCCCACTGGCCTCAAACTCATGGCATTGCTCTTACCTCAGCCTCCTGAGTGATAGAATTACAAGCGTGCACCACCATACCCAGTGAGTCTGATATTTTGAAAAGGACATGTACTTGACTACCTTTTAAATTTATAAGTGCCATACTAACTTTGGAAAGCATGGATCTTTCTCTGCTGAAAGGGACTTTCAGCAAGATGCCACAACTGACTTTTAGAAGCATATCCTCTGGTCATAGATAGATTTGCCCTCCCAGCATTTTGGTCAGACTCATTCTGAATACACAGCTCTTAGATGTCTGCTGTTAGTCCCAAGAGTCATAATAAGACTGAGGATAGGGACTGTCCTCTTCCTGTCTAGAAATTCTTGGTCCTCTTGTTCTTCTCCTCATGGTTCCAGTGGGCTCCAGGCCTCTTGTGGTTTCCCCACTGGTGGACATGTTGGAGTAGACCAAGGCGCCGCAGCTGCACAGAGCTTTTTGAGACTTGGCTCTGCCGCTTAGTGGCAGTGTGATTTTGAGCAAGTTGTTCCATTCTTGTTTCTCTTATTTATGAAATGAGGGTAAACATATTCCATGGTTCATAAAGAATTATATTCATGTGAATTAAATAGTGAAGTGTCTATAAAGCTTTCAGCACGGCCTCTGGTACCTAAGAGATGCTTAACACGAGGCACCCATCACTTACTGTGGAATTCTCCATTATAATGCCTGAATGCTTGAAGGTTAATTATCTGACCCTGGGGATAGTTGAGACTCATGGGTAATTTTAGAGGAGAATTAGTCTTGTAGGATTGCTGTTCCTGCGGCCACTGGCTTACCTCTAGTACATCCAGCATCTTTTTCTGTGACTTTCTCAGTGTTCTTACTGTTCTTCCAGAGAAGACTCTTACTTCAGAGGAGCTGAGCCAGCTGCAGGAGCTGCTGTGCAATGGCTACTGGGCTTTTGAGTGCCTGACTGTGCGAGACTACAATGACATGATTTGTGGCATCTGTGGTGTGGCCCCTAAAGTGGAAGTGGCCCAGAGGAGTGAAGAGAATGTGCTAGCACTGAAAAGTGTGGAGGTAAGTGTCTCTCAGGACCATGTGCGACCTTCAGAGCTCTCTTTCACTTTGGCAACCACTTTCCTACATGACATCCTCGTGGGTGGATGGCTCTGGTCCTGTTTAGGTGAGGAGCTGAGCCAGCTGCAGGAGCTGCTGTGCAGTGGCTATTGGGCTTTTGAGTGCCTCACCATCCGAGACCACAATGACATGATTTGGGGCATCTGCGGTGTGGCCTGTGTATTGGGACTGGAGGTGAAGCCTGAAGCCTTGTGCATGTTAAGCATGTGCTCTGTCGCTGAGGTACAACCCCAGAGTTTGGCTGGGGATGGGGATGTGACTCACTGGCAGACCTCTTTCCTACCAAGTACGAAGTCCTGGATCAACCCCTACCACCACCAAAAAGAAAAAGTTTCATCATGGAGCTCACACTCTGGTTTGAAGGAGTCAGGAAACAAACACTATCAGGTAGTAATGAGTGCTGTGGGGCAATGTAGAATGTAGTCCAGGAAGGTCTCTATGGTGTGGTGGCATTTGAGTAGAGATCTGAGACCCATGCAGCTTTGGGGAGGTTATTCTTTGCCTCCAATACTTTTCAGTCCTCTCCATTTCATTCCATGTAAGTCCTTAAAATGCCCCACACAAGCCTGGGTGGGTCTTGCTTCCTGTGCCTCAGAATTCCCTCCATTACTCACTCCAGCCAGGCTGGCCTTCTTGCTGCTCCTCAATCACAACCAGCAGGACTATCCCAGAGCCTATTCTGCTGCTCCCTTGTCTCCCTGGAATGTTCCTCCCCAAAGCTGCATGGGTCTCAGATCTCTACTCAACCTTCCTACCAGGCTCCACCTCCCTACCTCACACCCAGCTATAAACCCTTCAGTGGACAAACCCCATGATCACACACCTGTGATCCAGGTACATCCCAATAGCCTGTGAATGCATGAGGCTTTCAGGAGCTATACGGATACAAGCCATAACAGCATGTTCAATTCCCGGAACAAAAAAAGGCGGGGGGGTTGATTAGTATCAGCACTAGATAATTAAATGCTGCTTGGGATAGAGGTGGTATCTGTGTGCTCTTAGAACTAGGAGGGCCTTCTGAAGGAGGTGAAGAATTCATGAGGCTGTGGAATGTGGGCAGAATTTCTCTAAATGAAAGTCTGAGTATTCTTGCCAGCAGGTATAGAGATTGATGCTAGGATTTAGGGCTAGACCTATGTTGACGTTCTTGTTCTGTCACTGGTTCTAGTGGTCTCATCTCAGATATCCCCTAGACTTATTTATTAGTGGTTAATTGAAAATTATCTAGTATATAAAATTTATTGAAATGATAGCTCCTTTTTCCTCACAAGAAAGGGAAAGTGACATAAATAAAAGTTTAGGGACCTGGGACTGCTTCCATCTTGGAGAGTTCTTTGGTATGGGTGAAAGAAGAAGCAGTAGGTGCTAAAATGTCAAGTTTTGGGGTGAGCTGATCGTGCGTGCCTGTCAGATTCCCTTCACTAAGCCCTGGTTTCCTGTGTGTATAATGGAGGGGTGGTGACTGTTGTACTATTAACATCCTGTGGTTCCTCCAGTTTGACCTTCCTAATCTTGACTTTTTAGTTCACCTGGCCTGAATTCCTGGGTTCCAGTGAGGTGAATGTGGAGGACTTTTGGGCCACGATGGAGACTGAGGTTATTGAGCAAGTGGCATTCCCTGCCAGCATCCCTATCACCAAATTCGATGCCTCTGTCATTGCCCCTTTCTTCCCTCCACTCATGAGAGGAGCTGTGGTCGTCAACACTGAGAAAGACAAAAACCTGGATGTACAGCCAGTACCTGGTAAGGCTACTCGGTGGTTGATAGGGTCCTGGGAAAGGCTCAGTCAAGAGTGTGGGCACTGTCTATGGTAAGACAGTGCAGTGGCAGAGAGAGAGCCAGGCCCACCTAGAGGACTCCTAGAAGGATGATGACAGCCTGGGACAAAACCTCTGGAGGTAAAAGCAGGATGGAGAGTATTGAAAAGTTACTAGCCATCTAGTACTAGCCACAGAATAGACACATAGCTTACTGCCAACCTCCTGGGATAAACTGCACTGAGCAGTGGAAATCTTACAAAAATACTGATGGTGAAGTTCAACCCCAAGGGTTTTTATTGAGAAAGGGTATGGCTGATTTTTCAGATGGCTTTGTAGATGGTTTGTGGGTTATACATTGAGAAGCATTGGACTAGCAATGAAGAACATACATTTCTGACAAGTTAGGTTCAATTTCTAGCTATGCCACCTAGCAGCTATGTGACCTCTGATGAGTGGCTCATTGCCCTGAGCCTCTGTTGCTGCGTTTACAAAGAGCATGGGGTCACATCGCCACCTCCTGGGCTGCTGAGCTAGTGTAGTTAGTGATATCATCTACTTTTCTCCTTTTTAAACTGCAGCCCACAGTAAGAAATACATTTTGCATCATGGCCCAGAAATCCATATGTACACATGGGTGTGTGTATCTGTAACTGAAACAAAACTGTTATGAAACAGTACTTTTCCATACTGATGTGATGTGCTTTTAATCTTATTTTATCTTGTTTGCAAAATTTTGGTTATGACCTATTGGTTTAACAAGTACTTAATCCACTTATTTTCAAACATTGCTTTCTAACATTAGCTGTTGAGGCCCCACCTCATCTTTGCTGTTTCAAGGCCTAGGAATTATTTCAAAAAGTCCCCGCCTAGTTCTCTTGATTAGCCAGGATCATACTGTATAGGAAACGTTTGTAAAATGTAACTCCTGATCCTCTTGTTGTTGCAGCTATAATAAGCATCTGTACTCTTGGTTCTAGAAAACAGAAGACTTTGGATTAAAAGCTGGCACATCTTAGGGCTCTGTGCAGTGTCCATATGCTAGGTTTCTCATGTAGATGTTCCAGGACACATTCCAGTTCTGAGAAATGAGAGCCCTGCCTTGAGTCCCTTTTCTCTCAGCACCCTGGGATGTGCTCAGTGCAGAGCTGCTTCCTGATTGCTCGCTGTTCTGCAGGCCTGGCCCCCTTGTTCCTGTCCTCCAGCCCTAGGGGATCACCCATGGCCTCTGGCGGTGGCAGCAGCACCTCCCATCTCCACCGTCATCTCTTGCAGGCAATGGCAGTGCCTTGGTGCGGCTGCTCCAGGAAGGCACCTGCAAGCTTGAGGAGATTGGCTCCTATAGTGAAGAGGAGCTGCGGCATCTGCTGGGGCAGTGTGACATCCCTTTCACAGCAGGAGACTGCAGGGTGAGTGTTGAGCCCAGTGGTGGAGATCCAGACTTTTGGAGCAGACTGGTGGGTCTGTCTACTTCTCTGGTGAGACATGAACATGGTGACTGGACACCTCCATTGGACAGAGGTACTGGCTGTCCAGGTGCCTGGAAGGTGGCAGGAACCAGATCATGACATGCACATGAGTCCTTGGCCTATGGTCAGTTCCTCCTGTTAGAAGTAGCGCGCCTGGACTCTACAGTCAGGAATCCTGATTTTTTTAAATGTAAGACCTTAAATAAACTACCTTACATTTTCAGCTTCATTTTCCTCATTTGTAGAATTGGAATAATTAAAATACCAACCTCACAAATTTACTGTAAGGAATATGTTATAGTGTCTGCTTTTTGGGCTCTAAAACCGTGGCTACTATTGCATACATAGATTGTGTATATGTATGTATGGGTTTTACTTGTACAGTACTTTATTGTCTTTTATATTTCTGTGCTGTTGAAAGTATTACACTTCCTCTAAAATCAGATTCAAATATTTGTTTCTCTTTGAAGGCTTCTCTGACCTCTAAAAACTAGAAGGCCCCAGACCCTAGATGCTAGCAGTTTGGTCATTCTGGCTGGTCTTTTGTGACCTGATCTTGGGGGAGTGGGTCCTCCATTTGTTTACCTGTACCTAGAGAAGCGTTGGCTGGGTAGGCATAAAGACCCATTCCGGCCTGGCGGTTGATCTTTTTGCTTTGGTATGGAGTGCACATTTAATGCCGAGCACCCGGCCTAGTCCCTTAGCATTCACTCCTGTTCTTCTGATCTTGTCCTTCTCCAGGACCAGCTCTGTTTCTCTTTATTGGCCCTCTATGAATCTGTACAGAATGGAGCCAGAGCGAGACAGACCCCACCGCATCTTACAGGGGGTAAAATCTACAAAGTGTGCCCCCATCAGGTAAGAAGATAACAAAGGAAAACTTTGGGTGGACTTGCTAATGTTAAATTGCTCACACAATCGGATCCAGCCCATCCTTTGGGATTTGGTACTGTAGTTGCTGTGCAGCCTGTGGAGTAACTGCATGTGTCAGGTGCCATTATTTGGGCGGAGGCGAGAGCCTTGGTGTCTCACTGTATATTTATTACATACCCTACTATGTGCTGAGCCATGAGTCACCTGTTAAAGATAGAGTAAGCAACAAAGATGTAATTCCTCCCCAGCTGACCTCATATTTAAGTGAGGAAATAATAGTTGCCCTGGCTTGTAATGATAGATCTGAAGGCACCAGACAAGGGCTTGAGATAGAAAGTAACAGGGAGAGACTACTATCAAAGCAGAGAAGGCTCAGTCCTAGCATAGGCATGCTGCCCTAGCAATGAGCCAGGGAGGAAGTGTTCCCCCAGCAGAGGAACTACTAGAGGCCAGAGCAACCACTGGGATTTTATTCTGAGAGTGGTGAGGGGCCTTTTGGATGGTGTTGAATGGGAAATTGAGTCTGATTTTTGTTTTGACTTGGTTCAGTATTTTGCTGCACTGGGGATTGAATTCAGGGGCATATGCATGCTAGAAATGCACTCAACCACTGAGCTACATTCCCAGTTCTTTATTGAGACAATGTCTTGCTATGCTGCCCAGACTGACACTGAACTTACTTTCTTCCTACCTTAACCTCCCGCGTAGCTGGAATTATGGACATATACCACTGTGCCCAGCATGATTTTGATTTTGGGAAGACCATTCCATGTGTCTTTAGAAGGGTATGGATGCAGTAGGCACCAGGATAACTCCAGGATAGGTTGTGTACCTGATGACAGAGTAGGATCAGGAAGATTCTAGAACAGAAAACCCAGGCTATTAACAAGTACTGAATAGGGGGCAGAGGGTCCTCAGCAGACACACAGTTCATGGAGGTGTGAGTCAACAGGACGACTGTAAACAGAGAATTAATTTATTAACCCCTTGGACAAAAGCTGTATCTAAAGGCAGTGCTTCCACCTGGGCAGATCAGAGCCTGCTTCGAGGGTGGTGCTCATGGGGTCCTCCCTTGAAAAGCAGTTGATTGCACAAAAACTCAAGAGCAGTGTTGGGGCTGCGAGGGGCAGTGTATGACTTGGAAGCGACTGTCAGCTGGGTGTGAAGGCAGGATTCTCCATTATACTCAGAGCTGTCCAGCAATGGAGTGGAATGGTGCTGGAGGCTGGGGGGCCCTGGGCTATACCAGAGCCTCCTACCTAGTCAGCATATTGGATCAGGTGAAGAGCTTCCTCAAAATACAGATGCTTGGGGCTGGGGCTATAGCTCAGCAGCACAGCACCTGCCTAGCAAGCTCAAGGTCCTGAGTTCTATTCCTGGTACCAAAAAAAAAACAAACCTCAAAATACAGATGCTTAGACCCAGAGACCATAATTCTTTAGGTTTGGGCTGGGACCCAGGAATCTCTGTCTTTAACCAGCTACTAGCTACTGGTGCTGTGCTGCTAGGATTAGGAACCACTAGATGATGCTAGGTAGTACTGTGGAAGCAGTGGAGGTTAGAGGAAACGTCCTGAAGGGCCTTTCAGTTTAAATGGAGGACTGGATGTCCCAACTCTTCTCTCAGGAGAAGGAGCCAGGGAATTCATTTAGGGATAGAAGTAGGAGAACAGAATGTCATGGACTCTGGTAAATGGCCCCGGCTCAGTCACGAACCTGAGTGTTCACCTTCCTGGGGCGAAGTGAGCGAGGACCCTACTGTTGCAGTTGGGGTCATAGCTCCTTAACCCTGGCTGGGCCCTCCATCTCCCTCTAGGTGGTTTGTGGCTCCAAGTATCTTGTTCGCGGTGAGAGTGCCCGTGACCACGTGGATCTGCTTGCCTCTTCCCGCCACTGGCCACCTGTCTACGTGGTAGACATGGCTACACCCGTGGCCCTGTGTGCCGACCTCTGCTACCCAGAGCTGACCAGCCAAATGTGGGGGAAGAACCAGGGCTGTTTCTCTAGCCCTACAGAGCCACCTGTGGTAAGTCTCCTTCTGAGAAACTGGACTCTGTCCCCCAGTTGAATATATCCTGCTCCTCCCTTGACTCTTCAAGAGGCCCAGCTAGAATGCATACCTTCTTTTTCTCCAGCAATATGTGGTCTGGATATGCTGAAACCAGCATCTACTCCATAATTTTTTACTGAATTACCACTGGGTACAAAGCTATAGTGTGTCTTTTAGTGTGCTTGAGGTATCCCAAGTGCAGGTATCTTGTGTTAAAAGATCTTGACTTCTAGTACAGCTTGAACAATGCCACCTTTGAGAATCAGTGTCCATACCCAACCAGACCCTGGGTTAAGCCCTTAACACTGATCTTCTCTAACCTCTTTTTTTTAAAATGGAAACTAAGGCCCAGAGTAGGAAATGGGCTTGACCAGGGTCACACAGCAGATCCCTTGTCTCTGTGTCTTGGTAAATTATGCCGGGCAGTAGGTCTCACCAGAATTTACAACCCTCCAAGGCTCACCCTCAGCCCTTGCTGAAGAGTCCTTAGGACGGAGATGAGGAAAAATGGAAAGAGCAAAAGGAAAGTGGGTGCCTCTGCCACTGTATGTTTGGAGAAGGAGGCCTCCAGCTTTGCCTTGGAGGGGACGTCATTATCATCACTCCCGGGGGCTCCCAAGCCCCAGAAGCTTGTGCTGAAGTCTCCAGAAAGGCTTTTGGCCTTCTTCCTTCAGAGGTGGTTCTCACCCTGTGGCCTGAATTGACTCTATACAATGATAATAGCAGCTGAAGCAGTCCAACGTCTGTTCTGTGGGGTGGGAACTATTCTGTTCCCCTCGTCACCTGAGGAACCAAGTACACAAGGAGAGGGGTGAGATTTGACTTAGGAGATAAACTACACGGTGATGCTAGGATTTAAACAAGGCTTGCTGACCCCTGGGCCTTTACTCTCACCAACTACATTATATAACTTGGTCATTTCCTCTTGTCAAAATGGCTTCTCATCTCTCTTCTAGACCGTGTCCTGCCCTGAGCTCTTGGACCAGCATAATTCTGTGGATGTGACAGAGGCTGAACACTCTGTCCAGCACCCAGTCACCAAGAGTGCTGTGCGGCGCATCGTCCACGCAGGCACACATCCTAGTCCTGGTGACCCCAGTGCTGGGCACCACTCCTTGTCCCTGTGCCCTGAGTTGGCGCCCTACACATCTGTCCTGGCCTCCGTTATGGACAGCAAATCGAACAGTGTCCGCCAGCGTCCCATTGCCTTCGACAATGCCACTCACTATTACCTCTACAACCGCCTCGTGGACTTCCTCACCAGCCGGGAGATTGTCAACAGGCAGATCCACGACATCGTGCAGAACTGCCAGCCTGGTGAGGTGGTCATTCGTGACACCCTCTACCGCCTTGGGGTTGCTCAGATCAAGACAGAGCCTGAGGAAGAGGGCGAGGAAGAGGAGGCGGCCACAGCGGCAGAATAAGCTAGAGTGTTGTACAGGGACTGCATCATCTCTCAAGCCATAGTACAGCCTTTACTCAAGGCAGATCTGTCCAGGGACCTGCAGGGACAGTCACCTGTAGGCAGGGTCTCTGACTGCTGGGACTGACCAAAGAGCTTCCATTTCCTGAGCACACGGGGGCCCAAAGTCTATGCTTCTCTGCCCTCTGGGGCTTAGGAGAAGGGTCAGGAGACCCCTTACTGGCCCTGAGAGAGCACTTACGAGGTAGTATGCTTATGGGAGGGAGGGAGGCTGAGGGAAAGGCTGGTAGCCAGCTCCCTGGGGCCTGACACAGGTGGGGTGGAGGTCCTGGGGTGGGCTGAGGCAGGAATCCGCACTAGGTGAGATGTCTCTTCCACGTGGGGAAACCGTCCAGCTCTAGAGTCACATGGGCTCCTTAGCCTGTGGCCTCTGACCTGGGGTCTTGGTGGCCTCATTCCTCCTAGGCAACCCTTTGGGCTCTTGATTCTTCCTAAAGGAGGGATGAATTTTTCTCCAGTTCTTCCTGCGCCACATTTGGGGGAACAGGAGGGAGGAACAGTCAGCCACAGCTTTCTTACAGGACTGTCCTCTTCCTTGAGCTTTGGGGAAGATAACCCCCTTCCTCCTTTCCCTGGCCACTACTGCTGCACCCTGCATCCTCTTTGGGCCCTGGGATCCTCACCGCAGAGAGGATGTGGCCCATGGTCCTCCGACATAACCTGGCAGCAGTAGGAAAACTCCCTTCTGTGAAGGGGAAGCAGACTGGGCCATATGGAAACAGCAGGACTGGCTCAAGTGCCCATGGTTTGCTTAGGGCCCAGGAACAGGCCAAGTGTTTAATTTATTGATAGGAGTGGAGTAGGTGGCTCCCCCGCTTCTCTTTCCCCATCAAGAATAAAGTTTATTAAATTATCTGGTTTTGACGAAGCAAGAGCCAGTTCCGTGCTCATTGTGTGGGGCACAGTGTGGTCAGGCTTCTGGGGTCCTGGGCTTGTCACTTCATGCGAAGGAGGAACAGAGAAGATTCTCAGGAATTTGCGGGCACTTACGTGATGCAAAATACCAGAGGCTGGCTGTGTTAATGCGGTTAGTTTAATGTTTACAAAGAACATCCCGCAGCGTGACTGTTAGTTATGTGTCAGCTTGGGGGACTGCGAGCTTCTTGATTGGTGTGGCCAGCCACACACCAAGGTCTTCTGCCTTCCAGCCCAGAATGGCAGGGAACTGGGCAGAGCCCCCTCACATTTAGCTGCCACGTGGCTCATTACAGCAGTGCCAGATCCAGGGTAGGATGGGCTGCCAGGTGAAGAAGGCTGTAGGGCAAAGGCTGGAAGGTCCTATTAGAGTCATAAGGGGAGCAACCTTGCTCTAAGGGACCTGTGGCCTGAGAGGTCCACTCCTGCTTCTCCACTGGTTCAGAATATAGTCCCACCTTTTGCTGGGCCCCAAGGAGCCTTGTTTTCTCAGTATCCAGACACTTCACCCGAATAGTGCATTTCCACAGAGATGGGAGAGGATTTGGGAAGCGAAGTGCAAACAAGGATAGGAGTGAGCTGGGGGTTTACCAGTTGTCAGCAAACGTGAGTCCAACATCATGAGAACAGTGGGGGAGGGTTGAAAGGGCTTGGCCCTTAAATGGCAGTGATGGCCCAGGCTCTGGGAGTGGGGTCTTTTGACCTCCCCCATACCCCTGACATTCCCAAGCTTTAGAGCTGGGCCAAGCTGTGGAAACGATGGAGGGCAGAGTTTGTCTGTTCTCCCCATGCTGCCCCATCCATGGAGGAGTTGGAGCTTGGTGGTGGGGAGGGTACTCCCCGTCATCACCACCTCAGCAGAACTGATAGTTGTTGGGCTGCAGCAGCGGCTGGGCGATGTCCCCTGGCTCACAGCAGGCCAGGTGCTCGCCGGAGCTTTCTTCCTCCAGCTCGCTGTTGCTGCTGCTGCTGCTGCTGTTGCCACTGCTGCTGGTGCCGTCACCACCACTGCCACTGCTGCTCCTTGGCACATTAGCATAGTCCTGGGGTGGGAGGGGCCGGGGACAGTCCAGAGCATTAGGCCCAGCCCTGCATGCTCTAGCCAGCCCCCCACCCTCTCCGTGCCCAGCCCCTCTCACCTGCTCTCTCCTGTCTGCTTGGGCCTGCTCCTGGAGGAGGGAGCAGATCTGCTGGAAAGTGGGTCTGTGGGTGGGCTCCAGGTCCCAGCAGGCTTGCATAATGCTATATCTGGAGATAGGACGGAAGTTGTTCATGTGAAGCTCCTCGGGGTCTAGGGAACATTACATACATCCCTACAGAGACCTGTCCAGTGGAGGTCCTATCAAACATGAGTTTGTGGACCAGATGGAGCTCAGTGGTGGACTGCTTATCTAGCAGGCATGGGGCTCCATGTCCCATCCCCAGCACTGGGGGAGAAAAGAGTTTGGTACCAAGCTTAATCTATGTCTTCGGCATGCTTTACCTCAGTCCTATGGTAACCCTTGGACGATGTTCTCATTACCCTCCTTTTGACAGATAAATCCTGTACCCTCAAGGTCATTGCAGTAACAGTCTGAGTTAAAAGTCTGGCTGAGGTTAGGCCCCGCCCTAGTTCAGAGCCTTCTCTGAGATAGTCCCCCAAGCTACCTGGGAAACCAGCAGAAACCCTAAACTAGATTGTACTGTCGGGGGATGAAACCTAGCCCTGGAGCATTTTGGGCAGAGAAAGACATACCCTTCTAGCCCCTTCCTACCAAAGCCTGGGCATCCTCTTCCCCCCGGGACCCTTTCACATACATGTTCTTTGGGGCAAAGGCAGGCTGGGCCATTTGGTATCCATCTTTCACCAGTTTGTAGAACTTGCTGTTCACCAGGATGCCAGGGTAGGGGTTCAGTCCTGCAAAGGCCAGGATCGTGTAAGCGGCCACACTCTTGTCTTCCTCTTTCCCCACCCACGAGCATCCCGGTGAGGTGGTGTGTGAAGGGCCCCACCTGGACTCTGGCCCAGCACAGCAGCTACTTCTCCCCAGGGCTTACTGTATGAAATGCCCCGGACACCAGGCATTACCACACAGAGAACTACGGCATAGGCTGTGCAATCAGGCGGACCAAGTGGGGACCATGCCAGGTATTAGGAAGTTGGTAGAGAGGTGCATTTGAGGACTTAGCACAAATCCCTGTGTCTAGTCCTCAGGAAATAGGGGCTAGTAACTAGTAGATATGCTAGAGCATATCACTTTTGGACAAAGAGCGCCAACAGTGTCATAGAAGCAACTGCACAAGGGAAACAAATAAAAGGGCTCAGAGGCCATGTGTGTCAGCACTGACAGGTCTGCCCAGCCCACAAGGGTTGCGATGCTCTATGTGAAAGCTCTTGTCGTCTCACTCCCACCAGCCCTTGTGCCATCCTGGGCCCCAGGCATCCCTGACTAGATTTCTCCCTGAGGTACGACACACTGGTAGGGTAGCCAAAGAGGAACCAGCACCAGGGTGGGCCTGGGATGGACCCAGTGCCTCACCAAGTGAGAAAATCTCCCAGAGAAGGATGCCGTAGGACCAGACGTCACTCTGAACCGTGTAGACACAGTCGAAGATGCTCTCTGGCGCCATCCACTTCACAGGCAGGCGGGCCTGGAAAGATCATCCCGTTACTTGGAACCCTGGCTTTCTATCCCTTCTCTAGCCCTGCCCTTCCCTTCCCAGCACTCACATTGCCTTTGACGATGTAATTGGAGTCATTCATGATGTCCCTCGCCAGCCCGAAGTCCCCAATCTTGGCCACATGCCCATTGGTCAACAGCACATTTCGAGCAGCCACGTCCCGGTGGATACACTGAGGGGAAGCACTGCAGTGTTAGTCTCAGTTCTCTCCTCTCTGAGCCAGTCATGAGGAGAGGCAGAGGGGGCCCTACAAGGCTTTAGGGTCCCCCCTGAGGGCGTAGACATCAGTTGTCCAAATCTACTGCAGCCAGGGTTTGAGAAAATTTAATGCACCCAGACAGTGTTTAGAAGCCACCACCACCCTGCCTCCTTAGCCCTTCTAGCTATTTGTCTCTGAGCAGCAGGAACTGCTTTCCAGTGCGTTGGGTGGTCCATGGCCCAGAGGCAATGATCCCCTGTGCTGTGCACCATCCCTGGCCCATCCTGTTACTGCAACAACAGCTGCTACCTTCAAGGTGTCCCAGCACCAGACCCAGTGTCTCCCTATGTATTCGTACACATTAAAGCTCAATTTTATCCTCAGACAATTATGATTATGCCATTTTTATAGATAGAGGATGAGGTTCAGAGAACTTAAATCAGCTGCTCAGAGTCACACAAGTGGCAAAGTCACCATGAAGCCATTGACTCCCAAGTCTGTTCTAAGCATGATAGAACTCCCATTCCTGGGCACTTAATCCTGGGCTAAAAGTATTTGATATGTTCTCTGATGTTCTCACCACCCTATGGGGAAGGTCCTGGTGTCATCCCATGAGACCGTGTGCTTCACCAGGGGAGACCACTGTTGTCCCGTTTATAGTGTTGAGTAAGAATGAAGGAATAAAACCTGTTTGGGACCTGGTACCCTCTGGACCACACCCAGAAGCAGACACTCCCCTGGTTGGAGGCCCCACCCCTCCTGAAGGAACCAGCCTGGGCACAGTTGTCTTCCAACCATTCCTGAGGTCCTCTGAGGCCACTGCCTGCTTGCTGTCTTGCAGTCCCCTTCCTCCCTCACCCCTTCTTACTCCCCTTTTCTCCCCCTTCTCATTCATGCAGTCCCATAGGGCTCTGACTGACCGCATCGGCAACCTAAGCACTAGAGTGGTTCTGACTCACAATTTTTGTTTGTTTGTTTTTGTCTTTTTGAGACAGGGTCTCCCTGTGTAGTTCAGGCCAGCCTTGAACTCACTTTGTAGCCCAGGCTGGCCTCAAACTCACAGCAATCCTCCTGCCTCAGCTGCCTGAGTGCTGGCACTGCAGGTGTGCACCTCCATGCCTGGCAGTGACTTACATTCTTGGAAGCCAGGAAGGCCATGCCCTGGGCCACTTGGCTGGAGAAGTGCAGCAGGTCCCAGAGCTCCAGGGGCCGTTTCTCCTCCTTGTCCAGGTCTGCAATGGGAAGAGGCATCAAGGCGGCCCTGCCACAGCCCCGCTCTTCCCCGGCCCCATCCCCTGCCTCCCAACCACCTTCTGCCTCTCCCCTGGCTCTGGCACATCCTCACCTTGTTCAGAAAAGGAGTCACTTGAAGTGGAGACTGGCCTCATCTCCACATAGGTGTCCAGGCCCTGGCTAGAGAAGCCACTGTCCCTGCATAGGAGAGAAGGTAGAGGGGTGGTCAGTCCTCATCAGTATACTTCCCAGTTTAGGCTTCAGCCTCCAGCTGCCCCTTGAACTCTTCTAGCCATCAGGGAAGTCAACCTGAACCTCCCTTTCTGATGAAGAACCCCTGCCACATCCTATCTAAGTGACCACTGGCCTCTACTTGGACATCGCCCATGCCAGAGATGTAGCCCATCCTGTCTGTGGGCAGCTCTGCCTGTTAGAAAGTTCTTCCCTGCTCCTAATGTCAGTGGGACTTTCCTCTTCCGGTCTTTGCTTTATCAAGGGCCACCAAAAAGTTGTGCTTTGCCCCATAGCAAGCCTGCTAGAATTTGAGCACATTCTGTGACCCTTCTTAGAGTCCTCTCCTCTCTAGACACCTGACTCTCACCCCTGGCTTCACGCAAAAATCCTTGGGGAACTTTTAACATTGCCATGCTCGGACCACTTTTGGAAACCCTAGGGGCAAACAGTCACCCACAGCTTTCCCTCTCCCTGGAGCGGGACCCGTGTGCAGAGGGACCCCCTGGGGAGTCTCCTTACTGTGTAGACTGTGACTCAGCAGATCCGAGTGGGTGGGCCTGAGATGTTTCTAGCAGCCCCACGGAGATGCCTGCTCTTGGGCAGTAGGTGAGTTTGAGAAGCACTGTTCTAGACTGAAGAGCCACTACTGCTTCTAACAGTTCCAACAGGTAGGATTTCTGACTGCCTTACCTCCTGTCCCTCTGCACTGGAGATACATGCCTTGACAGTGCCCATACTCTAGTGCTCCCCGAAAGAGAAGCCAGTGATTGGTTTATAGATGTGACCATGGCAGAACCACCCTCTCCTTTGTTCTGGAAATGATACCTCTGTATTAGCACAGCCTAGGATCCCCTTGGAAGAATTGGTCCATATGTTACTTGCCCTTCAAATTTCCCCACTGAGAATACTTTCTCTGCCTGCAGATTTGAAGATAGAAGCTAACACTGTGCTTTGGTACTCATTTTTATTTGATCTGGCTCTGCAGGTTCCATCCCGCAGAGGCCTGGTGTGTGTCACCCTCTCAGAGGGGTGTCAGTGTCAGAAGAGGAAGTAGACCTCTCAGGCCCCCTTTTCTGAGGGGACAGAGCAAGAAAGATGGCCTCCTTCACCGTTTGCTTCCCAGGGCTGGCAGCTGCCAGTACTTAGGATACAAGCACAATATACACCCCTCTTGTTCTAATTTGGTTCTCACTGTGGGGTCCCACCAGTTGTCCAAGAGCAAGACCCACAGGACAGCAGTGGCTAAAGTTAGCACTGCCCCCAAAGCAAAGAGGGCAGAGTTTTAGCTCAGCTATGCTTCTGCCTTGACTCATGGGTGATGTGCAACTTGCCGCTTACTCTCTCTGGTTCCCCGTATTGTATGTTTCTGTCCATCTGCCTCTGTGTGGCTTCCAGGAATCGCAACATTATAGAACAACAGAGACAGAAAAACCCTGAGCAGTTCACCACTTTGATGGCTCACTGAGGCCAGAAGAAAGCAGGAAGCTGCCCAGAGTCATGCTGCTTTGCCCCCTCTCACTCAACAACTGGTTCTCCCCACTTCTCTACGGTGATGTGGGGGCTGAGGCCAGCCACTCCTAAGTGGAATGGGTATTCTGCAGCCTCCATAGCACATGTGGTGGGAGAAACCAAGTATTCCCCAAGTCTTCCCGTCTCTGTCCAGGGCTCCAGGCATGAGTCTGTGTTGATCTTTTACATATGTTAGGTGATGATTTCATTAACACGTCTTCCTCAGCCTGTGAGCTGCCCATCATTGCCCTCTGCCCTCTCACAGCACGGTAGGAACTCAAATATTGGATGGGAATATGTGGTAGAGAACTGGAGCTCCTGGGTGGCTACTCCTCATGGCATAAATTGGCTTTGCAGACAGACCTGGGACCCACCTCCCCGTTCTGGCCTCCTGCCTGTCCTGTGCCAAGGTACTACCTGCGGACATATTTCTTTTCCAGGTGGATGTTCTTGTAGCCAGTATCCCCTTCAGGGTCCTGGCCTGGATTCAGGCTGGGTCCCAGCATGGCCTCGGCCTTCTTTCGAAGAAAATTGAGCAGGTCGCCATAGCAGCAGTACTCAGTGATGACCAGGACAGGGCCTATAGCAGCCAAGAGTGTGTGTGAGCAGCAGCATGGGGTTGGGGACAGTCAAGCCCCAGGCCTGGGACCCAACACCTGAATTCTAATCCTGTCTCTGATCAGACTTCTTGGTGCCTCAGTAAACCCCATCAGTCTAACGCAAAAGCACTTAAAACAATTTAAGGCCAAGAATTTTTTCTTCAACTCTATGGCACCTTGACATAAGGTGAAGGGTTCGGTCCTGGAACACTGCTGAGATTCCTGGAGTAAGTGTTCAAGCGTGTTTGGGTAGGAGCTTCTTAAAACAGATTTGGGGGCTTTATTCTAGACCTACAGAATCAGATCCTCTGGAAACAGAGTCCAAGAAGCTGCACTTTTTTTGATTGTTGTTTTCTGTTTTTTAAGTAATGGTGTCACTATGTAGTTCCAGCTGGCCTTGAACTCCCTGTGTAGCCCAGGCTGGCCTTGAACGCACATCAATCCTTCCTGCACCCCTCCCCTGCATGCTGGATTACAGGCATATGTCACCACGCCCAGCCAGAAATTTCTACTTTCATCTCCTTCCTCCAGTGCTCCCGTGCTCAGAGATGTCTATGAGCCCCTGGGCCAGAGCTTTACACAGCTGCCTGCTTCACCCCTTAGTAGCTCCTGCCTAGTCCAGGAGTCTGGCCGAGGAATTTCAAGGGTGCTAAGGCAGGGTTTCTATTCACATTTGGAACAGATCAGAAGAGGCGGATAGAGCTAGGTGCCCCCAGGGCCCTGAGATACCCACCCCCAAAGGCCCCAAGATCACTGGCCCCGTTCCCACCAGGCGCCTCACCTCCGTGGGTGCAGGCTCCCAGAAGGTTGACTATGTTCTCATGCTGGCCCAGGTGACTCATGATCTTCAGTTCAGACATGAGCGCCTCCTTCTCATCCGCATGAGCTGTGGCTGGGAGGTGGGGCCACAGGCCAGAGCAAACAGGGTATCCAGAGGCCAAAAGAGGGAGGAAGAAAAAGGCAGACACCGAGTGGAGGGAGAGAGGGAGGAATGGGCCCGTTACTGACCTGGTCTCCAAGTAACAGGAAGCTACGCTGTAACTAGGCCATGCCTCTGGATGACTTCCATGCACCCCAGCCTCCCTGGGACTCTCAGAAGCCCTTCCCCACCCAAAAGTTGACCAAGGCCTCCTCCAAGCCAGGAGTCACAGGAAATGGCCTCCCATGAAAAGCCAGGTCCTACCCCTGACTCCTGGGCTCTATCCCCCAAGTTCCAGCCGGCTGAAATGGGATTGGTGCCACCCCCAGCAAATACTGCTTCCCAGCTCTGCCCCAGGTCCCCATCATTCCCCTCACTCACACTTCAGCATCTTCACAGCCACCTTCAGGACAGCGTCTTCTTTGCCCAGACCAAAGGCCGTGGCCTCTACCACCTTCCCAAAGGCGCCAGCTCCAAGGGTCTTACCTACCATACACACAGGCTCCTTAGGGCCCTGAGTACTGAAGGGTCTACTGCCCAGGGCCCACAGGCTTCCTGCCACCCCTAATGGACCCGTGAAGGGAAGGCACAGGGTGCTGGGACCCCATCTCACCAAACTGCAGGTTGTTTCGGGGGAACTCCCACTTCTCATTGTAGGGCAGCTGGGTGGGGTCAATGAAGGTGTAGTTGTTGCCCTCGTAGCTCTCAATGATCTTCCAGCGCACTTGGTACTTGGGCTTCTGCAGAAGGAGGGAGAGCCATATGGCAGCTGGGTCTGGCAGGCTGATCTTGGATCTCATCTCCCAGAGCAGTGGGTGGGGAAGTTCCAAAGCACTCAGGGAGAAGGACAGGCTGAGTCCTGCTATGTGCTGAGCACCATGGCACCTCAGGCATGTGACGCTGACAGCCAGTCCCTGCTGGACTGTCTTACCATGAGACCTTCCCTTCTCCAACCCTCGGTTTCCCTATTTGTGTATTGAAGGTCTCTGAGGATCTCTACATCTCATAATTTTGGTAACTCCTGGGCCAGGAGGAGAGTAGAGCTTGAGATATATCCATTCATTTACCTACCTGCCTATCTTCTCATCTGACTATTTTTATTTTTATTTTTATTTATGTTGCTGAGTTGGGGATTGAACCCAGGGCCTCACACATGGTTAATACATGCTTTACCACTGAGCCACACCCCATGCCCTATTTTCATTTTAAGTTGTGGTAAAATATACATAATGTAACATCTACCATCTCAACCATTTTTAAGTGTACATTTCAGCAATAAGTATGTTCACACTGTTGCAAAACCAATTTCCAGAACATAGCTTGCAAAACTGAAATCCTGTAGCGATTAAAAGACAACTCTGCATTCCTGCATTCCTTTCCTCACAGCCACGGCCTACGGTGGTACTACTTTCTGTATCTGTGAATTTTACTGTTCTGTGCTTTATGTAAGTGGAATTACATATAGAAGGCAAACATCAGCAAACATTAGCCTTCTGTGACTGGCTTATTTCACTTAGCCTAATGTCTTCAAGGTTCATCCATGCCTTAGAGTGTGTTAGAATTCCCTTCCTTTTTAAGGCTGCGTAACAGTCCCATCCATACATTTTATGAGCATCTATTTGTGCTAGCTGAAGCTGTTTCAGCATTAAACAAGACAGACTCTGGGCTTACATGGAGTTTGCATTTTAGTGACTAAGAATACATTCAACTCAAAGAAGTACACATGTGGGAAATTTTCAAATAGTTCTAGGAAGAAAATAAAGCAGATCAATGGGAGAGAGTGATGAGCAATGTAGGACAAAGCCTCTACGGAGCCAGCTGCAAGGACTTTCCAAGCACAGTGTACACAAATGCTGTAGTCTTGAAGAGGGAAATATCCTGGCAGTCAAGGCACAGGAAGCAGCCAGGATGGACATGGAAGGTGAGGGGAAGTTCCAGAGGCAAGAAGGTCTCAAAGGCTGAGACGGGTGGGTAACAGATCCAGCCTGGGGAGAAGGAGCAGCCACCTCTCCCCCCTGCTCCTGGGCAGCTGGACAGGAGCATAACGCTCATGCTCACGCTCATGAGAGGTGCTGAGGGCAGGCCAAGTTTAGGGGGAAAGTGAAGCTGGGATGGGAGGTGGAGGACACTGAGGTATTGGTCAGCAGACCAGCCCTTTCAGGTCAGGCCTTGGGCATAGACCAGCTTGGCTGTGCTTAGCAGCTGGGGCCCTTCCCTGAGCACTCCAGCTTGGGGAGCGAGAGGGTGCGCGAACAGGTGTCAAGGAGGAGGGTAACCTCCGGCTGTGTGTCTTGCTAGGTTAAGAGAAACACTCCAGACAGCTATAGCAAAGAACTTCGAGCCGGTAATTTGGGAGGATAAACTAGAGCTAGCCATGAGGAAGGACTTCTGGGCTCTGGCTCGAGAGGGCAGGCTACAGGCAACTTAAGCACATCCATGTTATGGCCTGGGATGAGTCCAAAATGTGACCTGGAGAAACTTGCCCAGCCTCTGAGGATTCACATCCTGCAGGTGGGCACCTGTGTCACCAAAGAGGCAGAGCCCTCACACAGAGCAGAAAAGGGGCGTCTGGCCTCTCCTGGCCACTTCCATCTCCAGGAGCCTCTGTGGCCAGGGCTGTTTTTTCTCCCCGCCACTTCTCCTTCCTCTGTCCCCCTGCAGCTGGGCTGTGTCAGCCCCTCCCCACTCTGGCTGGTGGGGGCAGAGGGAGGGGTCGGGAGGGGGGTGGCTTGGCTGGAATCTCACATCTCTAAATCCTCCATGCCAGTGCTGAGCCCCTGCCCATTTGCTACCTCCAGAATCCCTGCCCTCTTCTTGCCCTCCTCCCCCAGGGACCTGCGCTGTCTTGCTGTCTCAGAACAGCCTCCCGTGTGGCTCCAGTGTGGCCATCTTGGCCAATTTCCTAAGAACAGGAGCAGATGTTGGAATAACAGCAGCGGGTGCTTACTGAGCACTTCCGGCGAGCAGGACCTCGGGCTGGACATTCACCGGATGTCATCTCCTCTGTTCCTGGAACCCAGCCTAAGCCCCTTGCTTGCCTGTCACTTCCCTTCTGGGGTTGAAGTGAGAACGGAGACATTACAGCCCCAGCACCCTCCCCATCCAGGCCGGCTAGGTCTATGAGGTGGATGCTCTGCCTCAGGAAGAGGGAGCGCTGAGCAGTTCTGTGGGAGAATCCCTGGGGGTCTCTGCCATCCTCAGAGCTCAGTTCCAGGCCCCGGAGTCCTAGCCTCTCTCAGCCACTCCTGTGTGCCCTCCCTCCCTCTGTGGGGCCCTCCCTCGCAGCCTGCTGACTCCTGCCCTTTCCTCTTCCTCCTTGACCCCCTCCCCTGGTCTCTTCTGGGGACAGAAGGTGATGACTCAGCCCTGAGTCAGAATCAACCCTTCCACAGATGGGGCCACTCCTCACGCCAGGCCTGGGCAGTGAGGACAGGTGGGGCTAAGTGCCCAGCAAAAGCACCAGGCAAAGAGGACTGGATGTGGGCTCTGAGGCAGGGGGTGACTGACTTGGCCCCTCTTGTCCAGTGGGGGACACCCTAGTTTAGGGGAGCTAAAGGGTGTGTGAATGAATGGTGGGGAAGAAGGACCCCAAGGCCTTGGGTTTGAGCCTTGAGCAGGCTCAGGGGGCAGTTGGATTTCCTGGATGGGAAATAAAAGTGACTGAGAGTACAGGTTCCAAAAATGTCCCCATGGAGAAAGCAGAAAGTGTCCCTAAACCACAGCTCAGCAGGCAGAAAGGGCTGTAGGGGTCATAGGCCCTTCTGAGCATCTCCAGAGCTAGCTGGGCTGGGGCCTGGAGGGTAGTTCCATTTCTATATAAAGAAAAACTTTGTACTCGCTGAACGCTCAGAAAAGGAACAGGCAGCACAGGAATGAGTAAGGTCTACTCTCTGGAGGTGGCAAGTGGGATCTCAGAACGCCCAACGACTTTGGGGTGTAGTCAAGGAGATAGCCAGCCTCAGACTCACTTGGGTTCCCCATTTGACTTCCTCCTGGGATGAGGGCATGTGCTCTGCCACAGAGCACGTCTGGACCTTGCACCCTGTCAAGTCCTTTACAAGCATCAGGCCAGGGGGTCCTCACAACAACCTTCCAGTGCGATCCCTGTTCTACAGAGGGAGAAACAGGGCCTGGAGACACCAACTTTCCTGTGGCCCATACACAGAGGCCAGCAGAGCCAGGAGCTAGACTAAGATCATCCACTCCTGCCCCTGGCTCCTATAACAGACCAACAGGAAGTTTCTACTTTAGAGGAGGAGGGTTGTTTAGGATCACCCAGCTCCACCGTAGGAGAGCGCCAAGGGTCACAGTGAGTCGGCCACAGTCACCTGGCATACAGGATCCAGCTGGGTCCAGGCCGCTGGAGTCCTGACCTGGTTCTCTTTCCCTGGGGGCTCCATTCACACCCATCTTCTCATTCAGGGTGCTGCACAAGCACAGGGAGCCTGAGCCAGAACTACCCTCATCTGTCCACCGGTCCTGTCTACTCCAGCTCAGGTTCTTTTCTCCCCAGCCCCCCAAGGATGGCCAGGAGAAGGCCACAGAGGGGACACAACAGGGGTTATTCATCCCTTACTCACTCTTTGTTCAAACCCAAGGACATCCTGGGACCTGCAGGAAGGGCTTCCTCCCCTCAGAGCCTCACCTACACCCTTTCTGCCTTCTCTTCCTGGTCCCACCTCCAGAGCCCACCCTGGTCTTCCACTCACCTGCTCCTCTGCACACCCAGAATACCTTTTCCAGGATCTTGTCTTCCCTGCTGTTTCCCTGGCCTCCAAGGCCTGTCCCACTAAGGCCAAGCCACCTCTTCTAGTCTCCCTTCCCCACAGCTACAGGAGAAGCCACCTTCTCTGACACCACCTCCCTGCAGGCTTCCGGCCAGAGCCTCTGGGCCTCTGAGTGCAGTGGTCCTATTTTGTGTGAGAAGGTAGCTTAGCAGGCCAGGTGGTGGAGGCATTGGGATCTGGTGCCAGCCACAGCCCTCTGTCCACGGCAGGTTCCTCAGGGTCGCTCGCTGAGCTCAGGGTCCCAATGGGCAGAATGCCAACTTCTATCCTCCTTGCCTCTGAGTTGTTGTAAGGGTAAAAAAAGAGGATCTGATGTTTCACAGAATAGCTAAATGCATGGTTTGGGGATTAGTCCCATCTAGGTTAAAAACCAGACTTTTGTCATTGACTAGCCACAGACAAAGGCAACTGTCTCAGCCTCTCGGGACCTCGGCTTCTGACTCTGTGAATGGGGCTAGTAACACCACCCGTACACCACAGCTGCTGAGGGCATTTAGTGAGGCGTGCCTCATAAAATGTGCCTGAATCACTATAGTCTAGCAGGCAGACAGACAGTGCCCTAAATACAGAGCAGGCAGTGAATGGCAGTTGTCCTCAATAATCATACTAAATAATAAAGAGGATGACAACTGTGGCACTTCCTCCTCCATGAGTCCATGTGCCACATAAGGGCAAGACTCAGGCCAGCCCCAGAGATGTCCTCCACACAGAGGTGATGCCCGTCTCACCTGCTGGGCACCTAGAAGCCTGGGCTAGAACAGGATCCCATGATTAAGCTCCCCCAGGACCTTGTCACCAACTCTATAAGGTGTTCCTTATAGAGGAACACTAAGCTGTGAGGCCTGCTAAGCTGTGACACTGTCTGTCACAGCTACTCCTGTCCTGGACAGTAAAGCCCACTGGGCAGGGTGTCAGAGGCCGACTACATGCCTTACAGAAGGAGGGAGGGAGAGAGTGGGGGCTGAAAAGTGGGTCTGTGCAGCCTGCTGGTGACGCCCAAACGTGGCTGGCCCAGGGCCTGGTCCACAGGGTCTGGCCACCCCGCTGCCTCCCAACCCCCCGGCTCACCTGCTTATACTTGTACAAGAGCAGCAGCAGCAGGAGCAGCAACAAGGCCATGAGGGAGATGCAGGTGACCATTACTGGTGTGAAGAAGGGCTCCTCAAGGCTCCTGGTGTGGGCTTCTAAAAGGGGCAGGCAGTGCAGTGAGCAGGCAGTGGGGCGTCAGTGACCCTCTCCACTGAGACCAGGCCAGCTCACTGCCTGGAATGTAGTAGGTGCTCAACTGATGCTCATTAACTGAACATAGTGTCCCCTTGCTGAGCAAGAGCCCCCTAGAGCTCAGTGAGCTCTGTAGACCCTGCTCCAGGACAGGCACAGAGGCCACGCCTCTCCAGATCCGTCCTGCGCAGTTCCAGCCCTGTCCAGAAGCTGTGGGGCCCCCAGGTCACGCAGTCCCACCCCAGGCTGGTCCCAGAAGCCCCTTTCCAGGAGGCTGGCCCAGTGCCCACCCCCTGCCTGCGCACACCCCAGTGATGGAGATTCACCTCCTCCACCTCTGGGCAGCTCAGACAGAAAGGCCTAGAGGTTGCCCCAGGATCTACCTCCACTGTAGCATGTCCCCGACAGCTTCTTCACATGTCTTTGGAGCTAAACAGCCCTCTGAGGGTCTGAGAGCCAGGCTTATGGTCCTGGGCTCTCCCCTTCCCTGATCTATAACCTTGGTTCTCTTGATGCTATTTGAAGGACATCATTCTCTTGCTAGATCAGGCAGAAGCTTGGGTCTGAGGTCAAATCTCACTTATGCTACTTAGGGCATGGGTGACACTAAACCTATGTCTTCTCAGTCTCAGGTTTATCATCCTCCAAATATAAAGTAAAATAGGACTTCCCTCCTTGGGTTGTGAGTAAACTGAGATAATACCAGTGAAAAACTTAGTAGAATGCCTTGGGTGGTTGGCTTTATTATGTAAACTATACAGCCACCAGCAGTGAGGCTAAAGTGGTGGGGCCCTGGCAGTATCTGCTCCAAGGCCAGCAGCTGCTGCACAGGAGTGACAGGATCTCAGAACTCACAGGGGCCAGTCAGGGGCTGCTCTGCGTCATCTGGGCCCAGACAGCCTCACCAGTGTCTGGCACAGAGGGGGCACTGAGACCTGATTGCTAAGGGCTAGAGGTTGCTGTGGGTCTCTGAGAACCACAGAACTGGTCCTGGGGAGCTTTTGTGCTGAGAGAAAGGCAGCCTGCCTTAGTGTGCAGAGCTGGACATCAGCCCTGGCAGCCGCTCCCACAGGGACCCTGAATGGATAGGACTGTCTCAGGGGAGGAGGGGAGTGAGGGACAGATGGAGGAAGCCGTTCCAGCTGGCCTCAGGCTTGGGACTGCCTGTCTCTCTAACCAGACTCTGACCCCTGTGGGGCACTGGCCCTTGCACAGAACAAGTGCCCAGCACACAGCAGGTATGCCAAATACGTACTTGTGAATTAATGACTGAGTTACAGGGCATGTCATCAGAGGGTCAGCTTGCTTCAGGCTGCTTTTTCTCTGCACTCGATGCTTCCCCTGCCTTTTCCCCTGAGTTTCAATCCCACGGATTTTACCTGCCCCTGCCCTGCCTCTGGAGCTCTGTTTCCAGGAGGAGCCCAGGGTTGACACAGAGAAGCAGATCTCAGCACTGCTGGGATCTGCTCCCAAGAGGACTTCTGGCCCTGGAGTCTTGGGGGATGGGCAGCATCCAAGCCTCCCCACCTGTGCATGCTGCTCAGGAGCGGAAGGAGCAAGGCTCACCTCTCGCGACTGGCCCGATGGACCCGGAGCTGTTCCCCAGGCTGTTGCAGGCCCTGCACTCATAGGTCACATTGGGCTCCACGATCCCAATGGTCAGTTGGCTCCGAACAGTCACTTTGTGGAAGGGTTCCTGGCTCAGGACCTCAGGGTCTGAGTCCTCCCAGACACGCAGCACCTGGGTCTTGTCACATCTGGGAAGAGCAGAACATGGTTCAGGGTTTCAGTATCCCCAGCCTGGGATCCCCTCTCACGTATGGGTGTCCAGCCCCTAGCCCAAGTGAGGGAGGTGAGCAGAACCCACTTACCTGTCAGTGTGGCCCCTGCACTTCAGCCAAGTTACATTGGGTTGGGGGTACCCAGTGGCTTCACACAGCAGCGTGTAGGAGCCATTGATAGCGTGCCATGTGACACTGACCTCTGGGCGGTCTGAGGAGGAAAGGAGGGTGGAGGAGGGTGGTATCAGCCCCAGAGGCTGCCACACTGACCCCCTCTCCCCACCCTCCCAGTGCACCCAAACCTGGGCCACTCTGGGGACCTATGTGCAAAGCCTACCCCATCACTCACATCGCAGGGTGAGGTTGAAGGTCAGAGCACTCCAGCCTCCCTCGTTCCAGGCCTGGAAGGAGTATCGGCCAGCCTCGGAGGGCTTCACACGGGTCAGGAAGAGGCTGGAGGTGTATCTGCAGAGAAAGGCGGGGTTGCCGCGAGGGCCAGACTGCTTGGCCCCCACCGGGGCTCAGACAACAGCCTTAAGAGGGTTGCTTTCTTCTTGAAAGAAAGTAAAGTGTCTGGGCCATGAGCCCCAGATGAGGTATCATGGAGACAGGTGAAAACCACCAACCCTATTTCCTTCATTGGTCTATCTGAAAGTATTTTTCCTAAGACTTAGTAGAGACGATATTTGTAAGGTGCCTTCACAAGCAAAGCAGTCCCTGCAGAAATTCCTTAAAGTGCTGGTCCTGCCATGGGGGACTATGAGAGAGACAGGCAGCAGAATATAGTGCCCTAGTTCCAGGGATCAGGTCTGTGCCAACATTTCTTGTATGTGTGACCTTATACAGATCCTTAACCTCTCTGCTTCTCCACTTTTTTTGTTGTGAGGGTGATACATGGTTATTCATCTTAGCCTGAGAGCTCATGGGCTACATTTTTAGGGTGACTGACACAGAATCTGACTCATTTAGGTACTCAGATTAATGATCCCCTTTTTATAGAAAAATCCTGGAAGCAAATGCTAAAAACAAAAGTCATCTTGGCTGATTCCAGGTCATTTTTTATTTTATTCTTTTCTTAACTTCTGTTTTATAATTTGTCCAGAATGAATGTACTACTTAGATAATTAACACATTTTAAAAAAATTAACACTAGAAGATCTGGAGATGTAGTTCCATGGTAGACAACATGCTTAACTAGTATGAGTAAAATTTTGGGATCGATCCCTAGCACTACCAAATAATAATAAATTTTTTAAAATGGTAAATGATAGCAAATCACCAGTGCTTGCTTGGAAAGTGGTACAGCTCCTACTAGACTAAAATCTGTGGTATTCAAGAGCCATTCTCATTCTGCCAGACCTTTGGCATTTGGAACCTTCTGCATATGTTAATTCCTTTTTTTTTTTTTTTTTAACATAACATGGATTACTTCACAAACATTTACATTACCCTTGGGCAGGGCCCAGGCTAACAATATCTGTATTGTTCCAATTTTTGCATATGTACTACTGAAGTGAGTACCACACAGCAAATCATGAGACAACTAACATCTACTCCTTCAACTGAAAGGAACTTAATTTTGGGGGTGACTCAAATGCACCACTGTGAACATGCCATTGCATGAGCTAAACTTCTGTGGACTCTGGTGCCCAGGCCTGTCTTCCCTCTGTTAAATGACCCCCAAACACTTTGTCTTAGGGCATCTCATGGCTCCTTCCCACAGTCTCTGTTGCTTGTGGACCCCTGAAACTTATTCATGGATCACCCCAGTCCCAGAGCTCTACAGGCTCTGGGTTTGGAACTTCAGCTTTAGGTGAGGGGAAGAGAGAGGCCCTGGTCAGAAAGCACCAGATGGGAGCTGAGAGCAGAAAGATGAGGACACAGGGGCATCTTGCTGCTTCTGACACTGGACAAGCAAGATTCTAGGAATCACTGAGGGTTATGGTTTCAAAAAATGGAACATAATCCCCAGACAGTCTTGAAGTTGGAAGATGGCTCGGAGATTGTCCAGCCCAGGGATAACAAAGGGGTCTCCTCCTGGACCAAGCATCCAGGAACTGTATCGAAGACTCTGAGGCTACTCAAGAAGAGTAGCAGAAAAATGGCCTAGGGAGGCCTGTGGCCAGTGCAGGACGGGAAGCGGTAAGCATGCCCCATATTAGCTATCCTTGGAGCTGCACTCTCTTATCCTGGTAGAACAGGGTAATACACATATTTTAATACCTGATAACAGTGATCCTCCTAGGGAAGCAACTTTTGTGTTTAAAAACTACCTGTTTAGGCCGTGTTGGATGGGAAAATAAGACCCTGCAAACACAGTCCATAAGGAGACAAGAAAAATGTTTCTAAAATGGTAAGAATGTGGGAAACAGGCTTCTGGGAGTGGAGAGATGACAGAAAAAAGGCCAGGTTAATGAGGCTACACTTTATGTGAAGAGTTTTGGAGAGGAGCAGCCAGAGATCAATTCTTGGGGGCAGTGATCAGGACTCTCAAGAATTTCTGGATTCTCTTTTTTGGTTTTTTTTCTGGTACCAGGAATCGAACTCACAACCTTGTGCTTGCCAGGCAGGTGCTGTGCTGCTGAGCTAAATCTCCAGCCCCTCTCAAGAACTTCTGACTCATCTGTGATCGCGTGACACCTATTTGCTCTACTTGCCAGACCTGTGTACATAGCAGATACCTTGTACAGCCATTATTAGAAATGTGTCTCTGGGGGGAAATCATGGAGATAAGAGTTGTTTTCTATATCTGGACCAGCCATGAAAGAAGAAAAGGAAAGGGCCTGAGAATTCAGGAGGGACCCTGAGAAGGTAGAAATGGTAGAACTTTTGAGGATAGCATTGGGTTTCCCAAGAATGTGGGACAGAGAGATAAGCCAATTCTATCCAAATCTCAAACATCAATGTCTGATACTGACGTTCCATATAGTCAGTGAGACCTAGAAAGGAGACAGTCCATGTACAAGGTCCTACAGCAAGTTTGGGACATGAGCCGAGTATCCTGATTCCTAGCGGAAGCATCCCCTATCTGCCTGTGGGGCCAGGCAGACAGGAGGTGACGGGTGGTACCTGTATGTGCTCTTGATGGTGTTAAAATTGGGCTTGTGCTTGTGGTCAGAGAAGGGTCCCAGGTAGGTCCAGTTATAACCTTGTAGGCTAGGATAGGCCTCCACCTTGGCTTCGAGTTTGAGGCTGTCACCCACAGTCAGCTCCTGGAGGAGATCCTGCTCAGAGGTCAAGTTCAAGTAAGCACTCTCTGGAAAGAAACACATGGAGATCTAGCCTTAGTGGAAAGGTGCCCTAATTTATTTGTTTACTGGCTTCTGTGTGCCAGCTGAAAGTCTCTACCCTCAACCAAGACTTGCCTCTGACACCTCTCTTCCCACTCTCCACCCATCCATCTGTCCATCCAAACTCCAGCCACTTCCCACTACCCCCACCATTGCCATGCTGGTCTCTAACTTGGACCACTGCAGTAACTTTCTGACATGTCCGCCTCCTTCTTTCCTTGTCTCCCTACAGAGAGTCCTCAACAAAGCTCTGTTAAATCTTGCTACATCCTAGCCCGACAGTATCTCTCCACTGCTCAAACCCTCTAGCAGCTCCCCATCTCTTTCAAGAGGAAAGGCCCAAGTCCTTACATTGGCCCAGAGGACCTTCTGGATCTGCCACCCCCTCAGTTTTTACCTCTCTGACCTCATTTTATACCACACTCCCCTGGGCTCATCCACCCCAGCCACTCTGGCCAATTCATCTCTCGAACATGGCAAGCACACCTTGCATCCTCGGGAGGTCGCAGCTGATCTCTTGTCTTAAACTCTGTTACATACATCCAACTCATAGGTTCAAGGTCACAAGTAGCTGTGTGTTTGTACAGGACTAATGTCAAGGCATAACATTTAAGCCATCAGTTTAGTTATAACATGCGTTTTGCAAGGGTGTGTGATACTCAATAGTGCATCATCTGTGACAGATACTGAGAACTCTGGTAAACATTGCTCTATTTCTTTGTTCAATGATTTCTAGATTGTAACTAAAAGTAAATTTTAAAATCATGTACTTTTTTATATAAATAAAATAAATGCAAATGTGCAGTGTTTTAATTTTTTTTCACACTTCAGCATATGCTAGTAATGAATATATCTCTTTAAGACACGTGACCTCTGTTGAGTTTTCAGACCACAACCTCTTAAGGACACTGCTGTTCCCCTGCCTGGAGCTCTCTTCTCTGAAACATCTATACGGTTTGTTCCTTCACTGGCATCAAGTCTTTGCCCAAACGCTGCCTCCCAGAGAGAGCTCCCCCCATGGTCACCCCATTTCACACTGCAAGTGCTGTGCAGCTCCTTTGTCCTTTAAAATTTATTGTGCTCATTGCTTTTCTTCCCTCCTCTAGAGCAGACTTCACTTGGGCTGGCATTTTACACCTGTCTCACAGCTGTATCCTCAGCACGTAGAACAACGTCTAGCCAACAGTGTGAATGGTCATAAACACTTATCGAGTGACTACTATGTGCCCACACTAGAAACACAAAGGAATAGTAGCCATGACTGGGGGACAGCTATACTGGCTTTTCTCTGCTTCCCCTTTAGGACCCACTGCCATCCCAGACTCTGCTTCCAATAAGGGCACTGTATGTATTCTTGGGTAGTGATTCATGCTTCCTCTCCCCTCCTCCCTCTGACGCTTATAATACTCAACACGTAAGCCATGGCCGGACTAAAATGACTCAGAGCTCACTCCCACCTTAAAGGCCCCCTGCCTGCCTCATTTTCAGGCTCCCAGTCCAGTGCTCCCTTACCCAATTATCCAGGCCCCGCCTTTTCTCATCCCTTATCAAAGCATCCCACAAGTCTAGTCAGTAATCCCTCCTAAATCATCCTGGATAAGATGCCTCGACATTCCCCGCTGTGGTCTGAACACTATCAGCTGCCCAGATGGCTCTGCACTCTCCCATCCCTCCACCTGACATGAGATGGAGCCTTCTCAGGCAGTGCGTCCTCTATGCATGCCTAGACTGGGTGAACTCTGTGCCGGGCTGTTCTGTTTTATGAATATGCTCATTTAAGTCTTACGACACATCTGGGGCAGTTACTATTACTATCCTCACTTTGCAGATAGGCAGATTGAGGGACTGGTAACTGTTGCTGCAGCCAGGTAGGGGCGCTCGCTGCCCGGGAGTGGTTGCTCCTGACCACCACACAGTACCCACTCTGTGCAATCACTGTCCTCCTAAAACCTTTAGGGGTCTCCCAACAGGGTCAAATGCAAGTGATCCCCCATGTTAAGGCTCCTTCTCCATCTGGTTTCTGCCTCCATCTCCACTCCCCTGTTATGGCCACTACTCATGCAGCTCCACATCTCTGCTGCTGTCAACTCCTTTTGCTTCTCCAAAACTCCAGGCTTTCTTTGCCTCTGGGCCTCACATATGCTGTCCCCTCTGCCGAAAGTGCTGTTCCTCCTCTTGCTCCACCTCCCAGCCCACCTCACCCACCTTCATTCTCCTGTGCCAGTTTAGAGGCCACGTTCTTCAAGCCTGAGTTGGAGGAACCTTGGAGTTTCCAAAGCGGGAAAAATAAAATTGCGCTGAAGCAAAATGTAGCAAGGCACAGGAGTTCTAAGTGGGGAGAGAGGGCCCTGGGAGAGGGGCCAGGAAGGCTCTGTGGGTTGCAGCTCCCCGGCCAGGTCCAGGATAAAAGCAGTGTCCTCCTTGCTATCAGCTCTCGGCTACTTGGACCCTACTGCCCCTCCTTCCCCAGTCACCCCGGCCCCTGATGCTCACCGACCACTCGGAAGATCATGGAGGTGGAGTTGGTGAACTGGGCATTTTGGGTGGTGCAGGAATAGTTGCCAGCATCGTGGAAGCCTACATCATTCAGGTTAAGGGTCAGGACTTTCTGGTAACGGTCATCATGGAAATCAGATTTTTGAGGGATTCTGAGCTGCAGTGAGAAGGGGTGGGGATGATATGTCAAGGTTGCTAAGGAATTAGAACCATTGGAGTCTAAATCTTCAGCCTTTAAGATCATTATCTGCCCATCCTTGGCCAGGGACTGAACTCTGAGCCTCTGTTTCTTCATTTATAAAATGGGGCTGATTCTGGCCCCTGCCCCTGGGATTTAGTAAGAGACAATCAAGGTATGACACAAAGAGCCTAGGGCTGTGCCTGGCATACTGCATGAGCAGAGCTTGGGGAGCTGCTGGGGTGTGGGACATTCTGAGAAGCAGCCTCACACTGTTGTCTCCTGGAAATTCTCTCTCCTTCTCCTTCCTCTCTCCCAAAGTCTTTGAAAGAGCCCTTTTACCGGTTCTGAAGGTGGCCTAGAAACTCCTTCCAAGACAGGGGTGAGCTCATATCTGGCTTCTGTCTACAAACTGGAGCAAAGATTAAGGAATTTGAGTCCTGCCTCCCACACTTCCCCTCCTCACAAGATTAAGCGAGCTGAGCTCTGGTTCTGTATCAGCTACTACCTGCAGCGAGATCTCAGACAGAAACCCCTTTAGGGTGAAGCTGGAGGCTCCGCTCTGGGGGCCTGCTGTGCTGGAAGGATGGCTGGGCTTCCCCTTTACTTCCCTTCTTCAGACTTCATACCAGGCAGGCACTGACCTTGGTGTCTCCATGTTTGAGGAAGACACTGAAATCGACGTCAACATCGCTGGCTGAGCACACAATCTGGGCAGGCTCCCCTCGAATCCGTGTCAGCTCTGCAGGCTCCAGTGTCAGAGTTGGGGGTCCTGGGAGGACTGAGGCCAGAAACGAGATCCCTGAACCTCTCGGCCTCAGCTGTCACCCTTCTTCCTGTCATGAGCCAGGCTACTGCCAGGTCCCCACCATTCTCCCATCCCAAACCCTGGAAGGTTTCTCCCACAGCAAGTCCTATTCCCTACAGAGACCTTGGAAAGCCCATTTCCTCCATCACCACCACCTCTGCAGCCTCAGTGCCACTTTCTGCCCTGGACTTCTGCAACAGCCATCTTGAAAGCCTCCCTGTGTCCCTCTGAACTCCACATAAGTTAGCAGTCAAAGTGACCTCTGAAAAGTATGCGTGGATCCTGCCTCTGTCCTGTGTGAACGTTCAGAGGTTTCCTGTCACCTTCAGCATAAGTGTCAAAGCCCATCACATTCCTTCAACACTGCTCCAGACACCCCGTCCCTGTCACCCTTGTTCACCACACTGCAGCCGCACTGGCCTTTCCCACCTGCAGTGCTTCTCCTCCCAGGCCAGGAAGAGGGGCTGTTCTCACTCTGCAGATCTTTAGCTTAAAATTCCTTAGAGAAGGCTTCTGTGAATTAGCAGAATTAGCTTCACCCCCACACCCCTGCCCCTACTTTCACACTATTCTGACTCTTCGGTAGGGGATCTAATCCATGAAGGTGACATCTCCCACAGTGGGCACAGTGCCTGGCACATCACAGGCACGGAATTAATCTTCTGAGATTGAAAGATGCATTGATTTGACTTCTCTAAGCCCAGAAAAACTCCAGGCCAAAAAATGGTCTCCTGCTCGGCGAGGGTCCCCAAGCCCACACATGCGTAACTCACTGCTGTGCTCAGTGATTGTCTAGCAAGATGATCCTGTCTGGTGAGTCGGTTACTTTCATGTGGTCTGTATCCCACCCCTGACACCTCTTGCCCTTCGTGGTCAGAGATGACTGACGTATGATTGAACAGAAGTGAAAGGAAACATCTTTCACTTCCTGGCTGCTGCCTGCATGGCTGCCAGCTCTCCCTCCTGCCTTCCACACCTGGCCAGTCCCGCCCCGCCCCACCAACCTTTCTTCACAATGAGCCGGATGCCAAGGGTCGTCAACTTCCGGCCGCCCACTGAAGCACTGCACTGGTAGTCCTGGCTCTCAATGTACTTGGCCTTGTGGATGGTGAAACCGTACCAGGGCGAGAAGGAGTAATTGGTTTGGCGCAAGACAGGCCGGCCACGCACACGGACCAGAGAGACGCCCCTCTCCAGCTGGGGGTCAGTGAGCAGGCAGGGCAGCAGGGCGTCCTGACCCTCGAACACTGTCACTTCCTCTGCCAGCAGGTTCCAGGGCCGGTGAGGGTCTGGGGTAGAGGGGCACAGCATTACCACTCCCCTCCCTCCCTGAATATTCTAAAGCTTCTCTGAGTCTCTGGAAAACGGGCATCATCGTCATGTTTACCTTAGTGAGTTATTCTGAAGATGACATTGAATTAGAAGCACTGCCACAGGTCCTCTTTGTGGTCAGTGCTCAAGACACGTGGAGCTGATTTATTATGAGTGTTAGCAACAGGGGTCAGCTGTCTGCTTCCTACAGTGGGGCCTAAGTGGCCAGGCCTCTTGGGAAGGGCTGAGTTCTCACCTGTGACATAGAGGTGGATGATGGCACTGCCCCCCTGGGGGTCTCCAGACTCAATGCAGCGATAGGTCCCCGTGTTTTTGAATGTGGCATTATTGGTGATCAGGTTGTTGCTGGGGGCATCGGGGTCCAGGTTCCAGTGAGGGGAGATGGGGCCATCCCATTCCACACTGCCATTTCCCATGCATCGCAGGGTCACCTTCGTACCTGGCTGCACGATCAGCTCAGGGCCGCTGGGCTCTATTACTGGAACCGTGTGACCTGGGGGGTGGGGGTGGTAGACAGAAGTGAGGCCTGGGGTGCACCCCCTGGGTCATACCCTGGTGCCTTGGTAGTGATGGTACCGGTGCTGAGAGTTACCTTGAACAAGTCTGTGCCCCTTTGGTCATTTGTTCAACTCCCCAAACCTGCTCAGGGATGAGTGGCCATCTCTGATGTCCAGGATGCCACTCCTCTGAGAGAGAGATCTAGGAGCTTCCTTGACCTCCAACCCAGGCCCCTGTCCCACCAGAGTCTCCATCCTTCATCTTCCTCACTGTGATAACATCATTCTCCCCAGGGATAGAAGCCTTCAACCTGTGTACAGAGTGGCCCATTCCCCTAGCACCATGCCCAGGTTCTAGCTCAAGGCAGGACTCAAGCAAATGAAGAAACAAATGAAATGGAATATTCATGGCCAAGTCCTCGGGCTTAATTCACACGGGGAAGAGGCAAAGGGATGTAAGATCTTAGTTCAGCAGAAGCAAAGAGGTTCCAAGAGTGTTCTGATGTGTGCACTCCCACCACTGGGTATCTGGTCTATGGCACAGGGAAATGGCTCAGAGAGTTGTGCCTCAGTTTCCCACCTATAAAGGGAGGACAATAATTGCACCCATGCATTGGCTTGTTAGATGATTTAAATACATAGAGGCCTTTAGAACATCACCAGTGTTGGAATAAGCCTCAGCCTTTATGTTTATGGTCTAGAACATCCCCAGGAGCCCACCATGCACCCCAGCATGCCTATATTTACTGGGGAGCCAATCTCTTTTAAGGAAAATTTTCTTGAAGGAGAATGGAGAACTTGAAACCCCTGCCAGGCCTTCAGGGAAGGAGGCCAGTTGTTGCCTGTGCAGTGTCAGCATTTTTCCAGGGCCTAAAATAGGGGTAAAGGAGGGAAGTGAGAGCTGATTCACAGCCTCCCAGTGGCTGCCAGGCGCCCCCCAGCCTGTGTGGGCGGAAACACATTGCTAGTGCCCGGCTTGGCCCCCAGTTTCCGTTTAGCCTGCAACCTTCTACTGGGGATGGTCTCACTTCTGCTTCCCTGCCCTCCTGGCCCCTGCCCCTTCTCCAGGCAGTGGGAGATCCCAGGAGAGGTGGAGCCCTCCCTGGGCCTCAGAATGCCCTGGATTATGAGGCCTGGCTCTGTCACTGCCCCCTGCTGGGCCGCAGGCATCCAGCCCTCCTGTTCCAGCCCTTTCTGTTTATGGTGACGGGGTACAGCCACATGCCAGCCATGGGGGCTTTGGGGCTTCAGGAGAACTTGACATTCTCCATTGCTCTCTACAGACACTCCTAAATGGGGATTCCCCATCCTACCCGCACTCTGAAGCCCAGGGTTGGAAAGTCTTCCTCTCATTTCAGGATGGCTTCACTTACGTTCTGATTTCAAACCTATCAGAAATCAGCAGCCTCTCTACCTCAGCTTCTGATCAGTACAAGGGACCCAGTGACTAAGAGTATCCCAAGGCCAACACCTGGGGCTGAGGCCCTCCTATGCCACGTGATCCCTGGAAGACAGACGAGTGTCATTTCTCACAGCCCTCTGACAAATCTTGCCAGAACCAGCGGGGCCCTATCACTGCCGCTCTCTCCAGCCCCAAGAATTAGCTGGCAAGGTGGGCTCACACCAACCTGGTCTGGGAACCAGGGTCTCTTTCCCAGCCAGCTAGCCTGCTCATCGTCTGATCCCAGGAACCCTCCAGCTCTCGGAAGCAATCCCAGCTCCTTCCCCAGGTGTCCCAGAGGCTGTGAAGTGTGCACCTGGGCTCCCTCAGCTGCTCCTGCCCTAGGCAAAGGCTTTTTGCTGCATTCTTAATGTCCCCTCTGGGCCTGCTGTTTTGATACCTAAGGATTTTAATCTCTAAGACCACAGGCTCTGATGGGAACACCCTGCAGCCCTGGGTCTTGTGGTTCTGCGCTTGCTCTTTTTGTGCCCCAGGCTTGTCTCCCAGGTGGCTTCCCCCTTCCTTCCCTCTTCCTGTAGCCCTGCTTTGGCCTCCTGGAACTGTGGTCAGGGAAAAGCGCTGGTCTCATTCTTACCCTACCTCACTGTCCCAGATATCCATGTAGGACAGTGTTGACACCCTCCACTTCTGCCACTGCCTTTCCTGCAGTGGGCTGGCGGGTGAGGAAGGGAGCCTGCTCAGACCCACCCCTCCCTAGGCTGAGAACAGAGGCTTGATAAACACTGGCTGAGCCCCCTCCCATCCTGTCCATGATTCTTTCTTTTTTTAGTACTGGGGTTTGAACCCAGAAGCTTTCCACTGAACTACATCCCTAGCCCTTCCAACCTTACTCCTCACTTTTCTTCTTTCTTTCTTTTTTTGGGGAGCATTGAGACAGGGTCTCACTATGTAGCTCAGGCTGGCCTTGAGCTCACAGTGATCCTCATGCCTTAGCTCCTGAGTGCTGAGATTACAGGCATGCGCCACCACACCCAGCTTGCTTGCTTGCTTGCTTGCTTTCTTTCTTTCTTTCTTTCTTTGTTTCTTTCTTTCTCTTTTTTCTTTCTTTCTTTCTCTTTTTTCTTTCTTTCTTTCTTTCTTTCTTTCTTTCTTTCTTTCTTTCTTTCTTTCTTTCTTTCTTTCTTTCCTTTCTCTCATTCTTCCTTCCTTCCTTCGTTCCTTGGCAAGATCTCACTAACCAGCTAAGTTGCCCAGGCTAGCCACAAACTTACAATCCTCCTGCCTCAGCCTTTGCATCTGTCCATTCTTTGCCTCTCTTATCTCAGTTCTCCAAGTCTCCCAAGGCCCAGGCCCCTCACCTCTTCCCACTCATCTGTCCGACACCTCCATGACAGCTCCTGGGAGGTGCTCCAGTCTCCAGGAGTGCACGCACCCTGCACCCTGGGCCCTCTTCAACCCGAGTGCATCTCCACCATCTGATAACACCCCTAACCCCTCCTGGTAGCCTCTACAGTCCAACTCACCACTGCTCTGATGGGCTGAAAACTTAGGTCTCCAGACCCCTGTACCTTTTCTTTTCCCTAGAGCTGCACAGTAGACCCCCCTACACACACACACACACACACACACACACACACACACACAGAGCCATACACACAGGTTTCAGGGGTAGGCACAGGACAAAGCAGTACTTTCTGAGGTGAGAATAGTCTCTCCCTTAATCGTACACAGTTATGTGCATTTCTCAAACCCCACTGAACTGTATACTTAAGAATCTGTTTTTTCTGGTGCTGCAAATTACAGCCCAGTAAAGAAGAACTAACACTCAAGCTAGTGAGATAGAATGGGGCAGCAAAAGACCCTTGGTGAGCCATCTCCTAACCAGGGACCAGATGCGCCTAGTCCCTAGGGACCTCTGGGGAGAGGCCAGAGTGAGACTGCTCTTCCTTTCGCCAGACTCCATCCTCCTTGAAGGCTCCTCTGTGGAAGGCAGTGTCACTATGGAATGAGATAGCAGTCTGCAATGCTTTGGCTGGAAGACGCTCACCGGCCATCCCCAGGTCCCTTCTAACACTACTTCTCCCTCATCACATTCCACGCTCCTGAGCCCTGGGCCAGGGAGGCCAACCTTTAGTCTCTCCCCTTAACTCCTGTTACAAGCCTCCCACGGAAGAACCACTGCCCCTTCAAACCTTTCTGAGCCGAGCCCTGCCTGGTCCCTCAGAGCCACAGCCTGACAGGACTAGGAGAGCCAGCAGGGGCTCACTGTATTCAGGGTAGAGTTGCACCAGCATCTCCCACGAGCTTGTCAGAAACGCAGGATCTAGGTCACACCTGCAGCCTACTGAGTCACAGTCTGATTTGTAATAAGACCCTCAGGTAATTTCCAATAGGCATAGAAATGTTACAGAAGCGTTGCTCTAGTCTAGTCCATCACTGTCCCCACCACCAAGTACGTGTGGACACTGGAACCCTGAGAGGGTCAGGGACACGCTGAGTCAGTGGCTAAGCTGGGACAGATCCACAGCCTCAGTTGGACCGGGTCCACCCCACCCACACCCTCTTTTCCCTCCACTGCCTCTCCAGAGCCGATAGCCTCAGACCTACAGTCCAGGGCTAGGGAGGTGAAAGCACAGACTGGAGACACCCAGAGAGGCAGTGACTTTTGGGGTCTTCTCAGGGGCCCTCTCTGTCACACGCTCACCAAAGCCCCCTGTTCTGCTCTTACCATGCCAAACTGTGGCCGCTAGCAGGACCAGCAGAGCCCCTGGGCCCATGGCCTCCGTGGGAAGCAGCAGGATGATGCAGGGTTGCAGGGTGGGCAGGGAGCTGGCTCCCAGCTCTGAGCTCCGCAGGGATGGGGACCGCTGGACACGCACTCCTCCCCTCTGCACTGGCTGTTTGTCTTGTTTTCCTCTTCCTCTTCCTTCTCCTCCTCCTTGGGCTGATCCACTTCTTCCCCTTTTAACTGAGCAAGGCGACCACAGAGTTTGGAAATCTAGGGTGTCTAGAAGAAAACAAAGCCATTACCCCCAAGGGGAGGGGTAGAGTCGGGGGAGGGCCACACTGATTCTGAGAAGAGCTGGCTAAGTCATGGGACCTTCTGGAGCCACCTCCAAGGGGCCCTGTGCAAGAGCAGGTAACCAGTCCTTCAGTGACATGAATGGGGGTCCCCCAAGAAACCAGGTGACTCGGGCTGAGCCAGAAGAGCAGTTGTTACCAGAGTCCTAGGCCAGAGGCCTGACCGGGGGGTGGGGTGGGACAGTCCTCAACAAATCGGATCCAGCTGCTTTCCTCAAAAGACAAATGAAGTCCCTCAGACAGAGGACTCACATCTAGAATAAATAAAGATCTTTTTTAATTACACCTCCCAACATAAAAAGAAACAATCAAAAATTGAGCAACTGAAATGAGTAGACATTTCTCAGAAGGAGAAGTACAAGTGGCTACAAACATGAAAGAACTGCCAGGGGCTGATCAGACCCCTGGATACCTGAGGAGGAGAATGGTGGGGAATGAAAGTAGACAATATTCAAGGTGCAAGGGGACTGGGAGGAACCCGCCTCTAGGGGACAAACACACAATCTCTGCAGCTGACTCACTTTTCCTAGCCTGCGAGGCACTCAGCAGAAGGGATGGTGTGTGTTTGATGGGACAGGAACTGCAGTGGGTAGGGAACAAGCTAGTGGAGAACAAGTCCTTCTCCCTCTCGATACACCCACATTCTTCAGATTGTCCTCTGCAGATGTTATCTTGCCTTAGGGATGCTGTGGTTGCCTCCTCTGCACAGCCAGGAGCCAGGCAGCCTTCCGCGTACTTGTCTGTTCCTAAAGCAAGGTCACACCAGCCTCAGGACCACGGGACCCCAGTCACACACCCTGCTCTCCAGAGTAGTAAAATATTAGTTCATATCCTTTGGTCCCAGCAAGAAATGTTCAACGTTGCTGGCCACTAGAGAAATGAGAATTAAAACTACACTGACATATCATCTTCCCCAGAGAGAATGGCCTTCATCAAAAAATCAAATAATAGAAAATCCTCTGAGTATGTCAGGAAAAAGGACCTATTCTACACTGTTGGAGGGAATGTAAACTAGCGCAATCACTATGGAAGTAAGTGTGGAGATTCCTCAAAAAATTAAAATAGAAATTCCCTTTGACCCAGCTGTACTCCTTCTAGGTATCTTCCCAAAAGTGTTGAAGACATATTACAGGGGGACATGCATGCCCATGTTTATAGCAGCACAATTTATAATAGCTAGGTCTTGGAAACAGCACATATGCCCATCAACAGATAGATAGATTTAAAAATGACGTATTTATACACAATGGAGTACTATTCTGTCATAAAAAAGATAAACTTGAGGCATTCATAGGCAAATGGTGCAATTTGGGACCGCAAGTTAGTTATTATCTCAGTTCTGATTCTTCAAGCTGGCTGTGAAGGGGGTCGATTTGGTTCCATGAGGTCTCTGCTCCTGTCCAGAGGGCCAGCATCCGTGCCTGTCGGGGGTCATTGACCCCACCGAGGCAGTGCTCTCATCATGGGACATCTGTCTGTGAGGCTTTCTGTTCCTGGAGTTTAAGGTCACTGCAGTTTTGGACAATGCCTGGAGACTTCTAGGTACTGCTCCAGGGTGTTGGAACAGGATGTTGTGTAAACTGACAGATGAATCTCCCTGCAGATACCTTAATTACTCTTATTTTGACTTCCTCAAACTTTTTTTTTTTGAGACAGGATCTCGCTATGCAGTTCAGCTGACCTCGAACTCACTATGTAGCCTTAGGCTGGCCTCAATCTTGCGGTGATCTTCCTGCATCAACCTCTCAAGTGCTGGTATTATAGGCCTGTGCCACCATGCCCAGCTTGATTTCCTTAATCTTGAAGGATGAGGAGGTAGGTTAGGTAAATTCAGGGGGAATAATCCCTGTGTTACCAGTTTTTAGACAGACAGTTTTTATGTGATTGATATGCCTACATGCAGAGGAGCAGGAATCTGATTCAAAGTTTAAGGTAATAAAGAAGACACAAAACGTAGGCAGAGATGCCAAGCTTTCTCTTGCTTTTAGGTACCCATTGGCCTTCTTCAGGCCAAAGTGAAGTCAGTGAGTTTTTTTACCAAACAGCCTCTAAACCCTGGTTACAAATTTAGCTTGGCCTGGGTGTCTGATTAACAATGCAAGAAGCTTTCATTCACAGCACAGTCCTTGTCATACACAGTCTCCCTTGGTTCCCACAAAGCTTTATGTGGTGTGCGATGTTGTGAAGTATATGTCTTTCTTCACCCCTATCTCCTAGTATTCAACTTTTTTTTGAGACAGGGTCTCTATGTAGCCCAGGCTGGCCTCAAACTCACAGCGATCCTGTGCCTCAGCCTCCTGAATGCTGGGATTACAGATGTGTGCCACCACACCTGGCCGCATTTAACCTTTGAAATCCTTGCAATCTTAAAAATAATGAATGTTCTTTCATCAGCTAATGCATTGGCTGGTGGCTGGCAGTTCCTAGATAGCTTCAAGATGGTCACTGATCACCAGAAAGACCAAGGCAGCATTAGAGTTTAGGACTTTCAACCTTACCAAAACAGGGGGAGACTCCCAGTGGGCAGCGTGGGTCCTTCCCCCACACTTTTCCCCACCCAACTCTTTATCGTTGATGCCCTCTGTCACATAGTTTATTCTATTAATGTGATGAAGTACATTGACCTTTATATGTTTAACCACCCTTGTAGAATAAGTCCCACTCGGTCATTGGGTGTAACTTGTTTAATCATTTTAATATGCTACTGGACTTGGTTTTTCTAGTATTCTGTTGGGGATGTTTGAGTTTCAAAAAAAACTGCAAACCAGTAAACGTATTTCCCTGAGTTTTGTGAGTTGCTCTAGCAAATTAATCAAATCCAAGATGAGGGTTGTGGGAATCCTAAATTATAACCGGTAAACAAAGAAGTACAAGTAAAGTCTTCTGGGGCTTGTGATTGGCATCTGAAAGGGGAGGGTACCTCGAAGACTCCCGGATCCAAGCTATCTCCAGGTGGAGAATGAAAAGATACCTGGCAGGGGCCTGCTGCAGAACAGATTGTTTGGTGTGTGGAGAAAACCCCACACCACACACAGGGTCACAGATGTCTTCTGGGTTGGTTGTGTAAAATATAGGTGAAACTGAGTTTGTGAATTCCTATATTCTCAGAGGGAGCTACTGATGTCACCCATCTTGCAGATGGGAAAACTGAAGCTCAGAGAGATCAAGTGCCTTGAACTTGCCCATCAGGTATGAAATGGTAAGAGTAAGACTTGGATACAGTCTGGTTACAGAACTGTCTTTGGTAGCTCATGTTATTTACTTGCTTTTACAAGAAGTACTCTAATTATTTTGCCATAATTTGTAATAAAAAAGTATTAATCTTTTCTCCTTTTCTGGAGGTGATTGATTTTACCTCTTTTAGTTGATTCTCTTAGATTTTCCTTCTTATTTCTAAGTAATATAGTTGTAAAGTTGCTTTTGGAAACTGAAACACCTCAATGTAACATTGATCCAGGAAAATGACTATCTTTCCCTTGGACTTAGATATGTATGTACGTTCATAACCTTTAATGATCATAAATACCAACCAAAACTGACTCAAGAAGAAAGAGAAAATCTGAATCAATCTACAACATATAAAGACATTTAACCAGTAGTCCAGAATCTCCCAACAAGGAGAAGCCCATATGGCTTCACTGGTGAATTTTCCCATTTTCCCATTTCCCCAAGCATTTAAAAAAGAATTAACACCAGCCATTCTCAAACTCTTCCCAAAAAATAGAAGAAGAGGGAATACTTCCCAACCTATTTCATGAGGCTGGCAATGCACTTGCACCAAAACCAGAAAAAGGCATCATTGCAAGAAAACTATAGAACAATATCAATGCACAAATATAGGTGCAAACATCCCCAACAGAATACTAGAAAAATCAAGTCCAGTAGCATATTAAAATGATTATACAAGTTACACACGATGACCAAGTGGGATTTATTCTACAAGGGTAGTTAAACACATAAAAGTCAATGTACTACATCACGTTAATAGAATAAAAAAATCTTCCACAATCATCTCAATTGACTCTGAAAAATCTTTTGACAAAATCTAATATGCTTTCATGGTTTAAAAAGACACAACACACTAGAAATAAAGTGGAGTACTCTCAATATGATTAAGAGCATATCTGAAAAAGCACGATTAACTCAGTTGTAAAAGACTGAAAACTTTCCCCTTTAGATTACACATGCTGCTCTTGGCATTTGTATTCAACAGTTACAGAAAGTTCTAGCCAGAGCAATAAGGGAAGAACTGACATCTAAATTAAAATGGAGGAGGTTTGGGCTAGGGATTTAGCTCAGCAGCACAGCGCCTGCCTGGCAAGCACGAGGTCATGAGTTCCATTCCCGGTACCAGAAAACAAAACAAAATAAAAGAAAAAAAAAAAAAAAAGGTAAATTAAAATGGAGGAAGTAAAATTATTTCTGTTCATACACGACTTGAGCCTAGTATAGAGAAATTCTAAAGGAGCCACAAAATAAACTATTAGAACTAATAAGTGAGCTCAGCAAAGCTGAAAATACAAAATCAACACTCAAAACTCAGTTGTATGTTTATACACTAGCAATAATCCAGAACAGAGATTAAAAAGATATTATTTGTAATAACATCAAAAAAAAAATTCCTTGGGAATCAATTTAATCAAAGACCAAAAGACATACAGTGAAAACCACAAAATACACCCAAAGAAAATATAGAAGAGCTTCATTAACAAAATGGCACTGTGTTTTCATGGATTAGAAGATTTAATAGTGTTAAGATGGTGAGTCTCCTCAAAGTAATTTGCAGATTCATTGTGATCCCTAACAAAATCCCATGAGAATTTTTTTTCTGAAATACAGAAACCTGATCCTTGAATTCATGTGTATCTTCAAAGAATGCTGAATAATCAAAAC